ACATCTTTAACATCTAGCTTGATAGGCTATATATCAGCGCTATCATTAATTTAAACCATTGCTGCTAAAGTAGTTAAGGCATCGACAATCAGATTTTATTTTTGAGGTAAATGATCAAATTAAATATCTTTAAACTGTTTGATTAACTCTAGGATATATTTGTGATATAGAATGAGTTTTGAATCCCTTGTCTCTCACTCTCCTTTCAACTGATATATGACTAGAGCTGTGTCTTCAAATACTTTTAATGCTTTAACTTTTCTATATATAGCAACTTGCAAACCCATGATACATGCCTCAAATTCAACGATATTATTTATACAATTGAAATTCAACATTGCTGTTATAGGGTAATATCGTTCTTCTAGAGAAATCAAAATTACCACAATTTTGTCTCAAGATATTGGTAGCTCCATCAAAATATATTTTCCACTGGTTTTCTTCATGCCTTTCTTTTTCTAGCTGGGAAACAATCATCAAATCTTTATTAAAATGTTCTTACCCCTTCTTGTATGCCATACACTATATTATGAGGTGACGTCGTAAGTAAGCTTTTCTTAGTTAACCATAATGGTTTACTTTCATACATTCTTGATCTCTTCAATCATTCCATACGCCCTTTTATCAGTGAATGAGAACTCCTACTAGTTAAGTCCATAGGTTTTTGAAATGAATTGCTCACATCCATATTATCTTTTCACCAAAGTTAGGGCATAAATAACAACACCTTATAGGCCTAATAAAAACACCCATGGTTGATCCTTATAACTGTATAACACTATATCATGACGTATCCAAGGTGTTCTTCAAACTATCTTTTGATTATCAAGGGCTCGAAAGTAGGAAACCCATTATTCTTTTGTCATTGCTTGAAGCCATGTGCTGCAACAAAACTCCTTGATGATGATGCTAGAACGAAGGTATGATTTACGAAATTAACTTTTTTTGCATTTAATGTGACTCTTCATCTATACATAAAGTAGTTGTAGGCACCTAACGAATTGACTTTTACCACTTATGTGATAAAAATTCAAAGAACGAATCGTTTCTGCCAAAATGGTTAGTGTTGCATTGACCTAGTATGCTAACTGATCAACGAAGTCTATCACTGTGACATCAACATGCCTGATGACTTTTGGGAAAATCACCAGTTTATATAGAGCTATAGCCATAGCCATTAACTCTTGACCATCATCATATGCCCTTGGATGAAATCTCACAAAAAATTTCATAAGATAACCTTACTTTCACCTTTTGTCTTGACACATGCATCAACTTAATGCAAGCTAAGTCCAAGCATTTGCATTAGCTCTTTACGATAGCCCATATTATTCGACCAATAGATCTTGTTCGGGCTTGGCAAATTAAATCGAAGTATAATCATATGTTCTTTAATTGTGCACACCATGTCTGCTTCATTGAAGATGAAACATCTATAAGAACAATCTTAAAACTAAATGATGGCTCTAATTAGATTATTGTCCATATCTACCTGAAACAGTGAAGCTATATCTTTATATCTGTTCTCAAATACCTTCTGTTTTGTTCTATTTATGCATTTTAAAACACTATTTAGGTTAGCTAGATCATTTTATTGAAGATCGAGATGAACCCTCTCAGGTAATTATGAGATAAAACCCTAAAGCAAGCAATTTTCTTATTTTCTTTAACTTTCTTCTGACTTGATTTTCAATTAATGAGCAGACTTATAATGGACTGAAGTAGACTTTGGTTGCATTTGACTTTTCATGCATGTAAATGTGAGATCTGATTTATCAATAACTAATATGTGACAAATATTTTTTATATGAAAATGATGCAAATGATAATGTTAAACATGTCCATGAAAATGATGTATAGAATGAAATGATATGGAAATGTTAAAACATAAGCATGAAAATGATGCATAGAATGAAATGATATAGAAATGGTGCAGATACACAAAATCAAACAAACAAAACTGTTAGATAAGTAATATACAAGTTATTCCTTCTTATGTCCTAATTTTGGGTTATATCTATTGAAGGGTAGGAAAGGCTCTATCCTAAGGTTGGCATTTTAAAAGTGGACTATATGCAGGGTTAGATGATTTTGATCACTAAAGGTTTCGAAATTATTTCTTACATCATCGTCCATTACAGACTAGTAAGGCAGTTCAATCCTCACCCATCACAAGTTACAAATGAAAATGATTCAATTTGAGTGAAGTATTTCGCTAGCTATTGTAAAGATTATCATCTCACGAAAGTGTAGGTACTTTACTCTCTCTTAAAAAGGATGAAGTTCGGGTATAAAGCTCATGTAATGCAAATATATGTGATAGTGTGTGTGAATGAACATATAGGCTTCATGCCTTAAAAATAAAATAAGAAACAAAAAAGAAAAAATGTTAGTAAACAAATAATTACAACTTAAAACCATTAGCTAAAGGACAAGATAAATTCAAAAATTATGGCTTGACTCTCTAGCGTTCTCAGTGGAACCGTCAATCTGTCATAACATTTAGATTAAAAAATCTATAGCTAGATTTAATAAACAAAGTCACCACCAATCTTTTTTACCTAAGTGTGATTGGTCACTTGAGTAATCTATCATCTTAAGGAGCTCCTTCACTAAGGGTCTCCAAAAAAATAGGTTCGAGTTTACTAATAAGAATAGGGTTTGAGAGTTTAGTTACATATAAGGAAGGTTATAGCACCCTCACATACCCATTCGAAGGATGGTATCATATTATTTTAAATTTATCATATGATCTTGGGTCTAATAATTTCAAATTTTTATGTTAAATGTTAGAAATAATTTATAAGATTCTCCTATCAATCTGATAGAATTTTAAAAATATTTTCTAATTTCAAAAGTATTTAAGAATTTCATTTGATTTCTTGAAGATGCTTCGTCATTGAAAAAAGATTTATTTATTTTTTTATCAAAAGTATATTTAATTATTCCACCATTTGGGTCAAATTAAAAATATTTTTTCCTTTTGAATTTATAAATTTTCCATATTTGGGGCCTATTTAGAGATTATTTTATTATTTATGTTTTTTATTTCTAAATTTTTCACAATTTGGGTCAATTTAAAAAAATTTTTTTCGAAATTTTTAAATTTTTCATCATTTGAGCTTATTTAGAAATTTTACTTATTATTTATTTATTTATTTTTATCTCTAAAATTTTCACTATTTAGGTCAATTTAGAAATATTTTTTTTTCAAAATTTCTAATATTTTTACCATTTAGGCTTCTTTAGAAATTTCTCTTTTTTTTTTTTGGAAAAAAAATAATATGACAATTATTCTTATTAAAATTTCATTTAAATTATTCTACAATTTGGGACAAATTTAAAGAAAAATTTTCACCTAGAGATTTCTTAAAAATTTACTATTTAAAATTTATAAAAATCTCATTCTTGGATAATTATCAAATATTTTCAACCCAAATTTTATTTTTTTTTAATTTTTTTTGGATTGAAGATAAATATTAATTATTGTTATTAAAACTTTATCTAAATTATTCTATCATTTAATTTTTCACCTAAAAATTTTATAAAGATTTACCATTTGAAATTTTTATACATTCCATCATTATATAATTAATAATTATTTTCATAATTTATTATTTTTTAATTAATTTTTTTTCCTAAATTTAATCATGCAAACATACCAAAGGGAAAAAAAAACCAAAATAAATTTAAAAGAATACAAAAAAAAAGATGAAACGACTCGACTGAAAATTCAGCGCTGCTCGGCTTTAGGCACAAAAAACTGCTCAGGGGCGTGGCTTAGGGGATCGACTCGGTCGACTCAACAGCTAAGTTCGGCTGGGACACGGGTCAATGGATTGGGTTGCGATTGGGTCTGGTCCTCGGAATAAAAAATACGCGGATCCTAAGGTATATTAAACTTCAAAATGACGTTGTTTTAACATGGTATATAAGGCAAAGATTTTCATTTTTCCTTCAGATTTTCCTTCCCCTTTTTCTCTCTTTTTCCTTTTACCAACCTAGAAATCCAGTTGAATATTTCATCGAAACTGGAAACTAGCATCGAAAACTGAAAAATCTTGTTGAAAAAGATGAATTTCGTAAAAAAACTAATTGGAATCTGAAAATTTCAAAAAATTTCTAGAACCAAAAATTCAAAAAAAAAATCTTAAAAATTCTAAAATTGCTTTACTTCTCTAAACACCATTTTTTTTTTTTTTTTGTGTTTTCTCTTTGTTTCATGTCCCCTTTTGGCCTCTGATTAGTGAGTATTTATAGAGTTTAATCAGAAGAATTTCTTATTAACTCTAACTCCTACTTTGATAATAATTCTACTTTATCCCATATAAGTTTAATTCAACCATGATTCTGCCAGTAGTCCAATCCATGGCAAAACCTTCTTTTTTCTCTTTTTTTTCTTATTTTTTATTTTATTTTATCCATCATCTAACAAAAATAAATAATAAAAAAAGATAAACAAAAATCAGAACAATAAAATAAAGAAGGAGTGATAGATTACTAATCCCATTGGACCAGACCCAATTGATTCGAGCCTGATTCAAATTAAGTGTCTACAAAATCTATCAATCTATACTACGACGTGAATATTTTTTAAAAAATATAGTTAAAAATTTTAACAATAATTATATATGAGTTAAATAAAAAATATTTTATATTTCATGTTGATAAAAATTATAAAATATAATTTTTACATAAAACATAATATAATTATATAAATTTTAATATATTATATGATATAAAATACAATATAGATACATGAATTTTAATATATATGAATCATATAAAAGTGAACAAGCTTCCATTGAATTTTGGGCCTCCTTGAATTAATAGATTCAAATGGGCCTCCATCTTTAAGAGTTTTTTGCCCACTATAGCAGCCCTGGTTTTGTTGTCTGTTCGGCCCATGCTTTGGGTCAAGAAGAAATTTGGACGGCGTTAAGCCCTTTCCCAATCTACAGGATGTCCTAATGTTTTACATTTAACCGTTTAATAAATTATTTTCATTTGTTAAAGAAGAAGAAATCCAAAATCGAAGACCAAAAAAGAAAAAAAAAAAGGTTGCCCCAAGCAATCAGCAGCATTTTCAGTTCTGCAATTGAATGAGGTTAATAACCGGCATAACTGAACCAATCTCCAGCGTCGGATCCACATAAGAACCCAACGGATCCAACGCCAATAAGCAAGAGAAACTGAAGTGTGAGGGATCCGAATTTGAACGACTAAGATCCAATGACGGATCCGATTCTGGATCTACAAGAATCGGGTTGGGAGGAACTGAGGAGAGAAGCTCGAAAGACCGAAGGCGATCTCGATGTCAAACTCTCTTCTTATGCTAAGCTCGGTGCAAGGTTTACCCAAGGAGGTTTGGTCCTTTCTTGCTACATTTTTCATTTCACTGTTCCCATGATTATTATTTTCTGTTTTATGCATTGCATTTGGATTTTCTTTTGGTAGATTACTGAAATTATAAGCAAATATGTTGAACAATTGAACAAACCCTACTGGCTGAATAGATTGGATTTGTCAAAACAGAGATTTCTTCCATTTAGGAATCCATACCCAATAGGAATGTGGTGAGCTTTCTTTTCCAATGTGTACTGACATTTAGGTTATGTAGATAATGGGTCGCCAACGGTTGGGTCAAGCAGGTCATGGAAGTCTATGGAAATGGAAATTCAATCATTGCTTGAAAAACTGCTGGACACAAATGATGCCATGAGTAGATGTGCTGCGTCTGCTGCACCCACTACTTCGGTAACCCAGAAGCTTGCAAGGCATAGAGACATACTACATGAGTTTACTCAGGTTTGTTGTTTGTTCTGTTGACTATGCTGTAACTTTTATCTACACTTGTTTTTATGTCAGATTTTCACTTTTAATTACCAAGTGTTTTAAGCCTCAAAGAAATATGAGTTTTTCATGATACTTTTTTCCTACATTACTTCTAATAAGTAAATTATGAGTATAGTGAAGCTATCACCTTTCTTCTAGGGCTTAGAGTAGTCCTCTGGTACTTCTAATTGTTGTTGTTTTTCTGTTTCTCTAAAATTTTCTTGTTGGTGCTATTAATAGCAGACACATGAATGCTAGGTTCTCATTTTTTTTTACCACTGTAATTGTACAAACTTTCTTTCAACTTCTCTGCTTCTGTTACTAACATTTTATGAGTCATGGGTTCAAACTGATCATCTTACTAAAACATGTCACCATGAAGCTGCTTCCGAGGAAACAGGCTCTGGCATGCTTGTAATCATTTTTATTTGGTGGATTTTGGCAATCCTTACTAGGGTATCTGTATCTTGATTTGGAATACAATATATTTAAGTTATTTTATTTCATAAGTAATTTAACTTCAAATTACTTATCTGAGAGTTCATGGTCCATGATTGTTACTTGTTTGACAATTACTTTAATGGCAGAAGAAATACAGTAAAAGAAACACTTTAACATTTGATGCAACATACTTAAACAATAATTGCTTTTTTCGTTTACAGTAATGCATGAGTATAAATATACTATTGTCTTTATTGTTGCTTTTTGTTTGCATTATACAGTACAGAAGTTGAGTTCTCTAAAGATTTTTGGTCCTTAGCTTTTTTATTTTTTCTTTTGATAATCAATATCTTCATACCAACAATTTCATATAGTTTTCTAGCAGCTTCAGAGGACAAACTCTGATATCATCTCTTTTGTTGGTTATCTGTTCTGTTTTCTACATGTGTACTTAAACGAACATTTTTTTCCTTGGACAAGTGGGAATACAAAAAATCCCTTCCATGTACATGAAAATTTGCTGTAGGGATAACATGTGATTTAAAGTCTTGTTGGGTTTAACGGTTAGAAGTGTCCGTATCTCCTCTTTTCTTGAACCATGACAGAAGTGGAAGAAGAGCTGGCAGTATTGCTGTTAGCTGTTACAGATTGAACCAAGCCCCGAATGTGTTCTTTCATTCTCAATTTCTGAAGAATAATAGATTCCTTCCTCACTCATTTACTCTGCTATATAGCCAAAACCTAGGGTCTCTTTAAGCGCTTTATTTGCTATTCTGGCTCATTGCACTATAAATTAATGTACCTATGTTCCATGGAAATACCCCCAGCTACGGTATTGCTGTTACCTATTATAGATCAAAGTAAAGACCTAAATGAGTCATTTACTCCAATATCCGAAGAATAATAGATTCCTCCCTCATGCATTACTCTGCCATCTAACCAAAACCTAGGGTTTCTTTGAGTGCTTTATTTACTACTCTGGTTCATCCCACTATAAATTAATGTACCCATGTTCCATGGAACTAACCCCAGTTACTGCTGCTTTTAGATGTTTATCATTTGGACAAGTTGATTAGTATTTCTATTATTTTGAAGTAATGGTATAAATTTTGTTAGGAATTTAGAAGAATCAAGGGAAACATAAATTCAATGAGGGAACACGCAGAGCTTCTGAGTTCTGTCAGGGATGATATCAGTGAGTATAAGGTAGTCATATGATTAAACTCTTTAACTTTGTTACTCTCGTTGCCAGTACTATGTTCTTCCCAAAGTTTACCTATCTGCCATCATGCAGGCATCTGGGAGTGTGTCACCAAGAATGCAATTACTTAGAGAGCGAGCTGCCATCCATGGAAGTATAGCTCATGTAAGATTTGAATGTTCTTTTATCAATGTTTATCTTGGTGCATGCATTGTTGAAAGAAGTTTCCTCTTCTGTGTTTTGCTGCAAAATGTTCTATTTTGCAATTACTTAATGGCTTGGAAAGGATGCTGATTCAGATGTGTTACACACTTGTACTTAACGGAAGAAAGATGGAATGAATCAATTGGTTGGAAGGTAAAACCTAAAACTAGTGGCTTAGCATGTAGAACCCAAAAATCTCAGTAGTCCAAATCAACATTCTCAAGTGTTAGTAGCCTAATCTTAAAATCCAAATCACAGTTACCAAAAGCTAACTGAAAGCTTTGACAAAAACCATTTTAAATGAGATAAATAAACGTAGAAGCAAGCCATATAAATAATAAAAGTGGTCCGAAAATATCAAAGCCCTTTTTTCCAAGTTTTTGTCTATAGCAAGCATTTCTCCAGTTTAGACTTTTGTAGTTGGACTGCGAGGGGGGAAGAGGAATTCAACTAAGTCCAAAACTGATTGCAAAAGGTTATTCTACTGAGAATTTTATATAAGCTCTCTCTCTCTCTCTCTCTCTCATGCACACACGGAAACTTGTGCATGCTTGCTCAATCACACAAACAAGCATCCTTTGCTCACATTTTTTTCTTCCTCTGTCTGCGGGTAATATAGGTATCTTAAAAGTGCTTTAGTTCCATTTTTATTTGATAAGATGGATGTGCCATAGAAGAACACTTTAGTCCTGCTCCTGTTGGTGTCATAATATTGTCGTTTGCTAGGTTTAGTGCCATACTGCCATGTAACAAAACACGCATGTAGTTTATTTATTTTGGGTAGTTTTTCCTTTTCCCTATCTGTCAAAGACTTATTTAATTTCCATTTTCATGCCCAATATGTTTGCTTTCTATAGATTGATGATGTGATTAATCAAGCTCAAACGACAAGGGCAGTGTTGGGCTCTCAAAGAGCACTGTTTGGAGATGTTCAAGGGAAAGTAAAAGTTCTAAGTGACAAGTTCCCTGTTATCCGTGGCTTGCTTGGTACTTTATGGTTTATCTTTATGACTGAGTTTTTATTCTTTAATATTATTTATTTTTTAATAAAAGTTCTTCTATTTTCTAGGTTCCATCAGGAGGAGGCGTTCAAGAGACACTCTTATTCTGTCAGCAGTAATTGCTGCTTGTACGATGTTCCTTATTATCTATTGGCTCTCAAAATAACTAGAGATGTGATTTACATAGGGAAATGTTGAAAGCAGTTGTGCTTTGCGACAAAATTCACGTGAAGTTATTTAGGTGATATTTGTAAATTTATTTTTTAGAAAATAAATAAAAATTTTAAATCAATAGATTAATAGAAATTAATGAAAAATTAATATGTAAAATAACTATTAAAAATATTATTTATAATTTAAATTTGATCAATATTTATTCAATGGTAAAAATTTTATCAATATTTTATTTATTTAAAAAATATATCAAAATTATTTTATTTAAAATTTTATATATTTGATTTATAAAATGAGATTTTAAATCTATTAATTTTAATTTTGTATTTAATTTTTATTAATCGATTCTAATAAAAATTTTGTGAATTATACTTGCAAAATTTTATCTTTATAGGTCTTTTCCTGTGTTTTGCTAAGAGATTTTGCTCATAATTATTTAGAACAGATCACATTCTCTGTGGAAGTATCTTCTTTTTTATGCCAATGCACATAAAATCTCATTTTGTTTCAAATGCAAATCTCTTACATTGCTCGAAGCCTCCATCACAGAGGTTTGGTGCAGTCAATGGTGGCTCCTCGTCATGCTTCAATGTTAGGTCAACAACTTGTGGTCACACTGTGTATGGTCTAGTTTTAGCTTGCTGGCATGCTGCAAAGGGCATTGCAGGTGCCTTCAATTTCCTAAAATGCTAGTTTTGCGGGCTTGGTCTGTTGTTATCAAGACAATGGTAACGGGGCAGCACTCACGATCCGACATACGTATCTGACGTCTTGAACAACATTATCAAAACATACATATATAACGTTGGTGCTTTTTGTAAATGAATAATGATTATTAAATTATTTGAGCGCATTCTTTGGTCTTTATTATTTTTAATGACCAATAATTGGAGTTAAATAGATTCTTTGCATGTGAGATTCACTAATTGATTGCTTAAATTTGAACCTGAATTTGTGTAGCATTTCCATTCTCAATTGGAGAAAAAAGAAAATGAATGAAGACGGAAAGAAACTCGAAAAGAGGACAAGAACTGATCAGAACTAGATCGATCAACAGACTGTGAAGCCTACTGCTCTACCTGCAGAGGTGGAGTTTTGTTGAAATGAATCAGTCATAACTTGGCAGTGCAAGCAAAAATAAAAACAAAAGAAAATAATTAAAAGAGAGAGAGAGAGAGAGAGTGATTTATCTTACTTTCATGAACGTTGCAACGAGCCTCGAGGCCACAGGTAAAGTAAGAAAAGCCCATCTGTGTTTTGAGGCTACAGTTGCAGTACGTACAAAGTACTTTGTTTTTTAAGTGAAACTGTTCACTCTACTGGCTACTACTCTACACGTAGCAGCCTGAGTCCTGGGATGCCAAAAGAGGCTATAAATTCATGTCCTCTTTATTGGGCTTCTGAGTTGTACCCCACCGCCAGAGATAAGAGTTCCCTCACAGGCTTTTCCTGACCCTCGTTGGATGGATATCTCTATACTCTACTCCTTTACTATATAATTAGTCTCACTGCTTAATTTAGTCGCAACTCACCTCACATTTTTTTTTTTGGGTTGGTGCTGCTCGACGCCCCAACATGCACTGAGGAAAACTAGTCGGAGATCAGTACCTGAAATCATTTTCAGGTAAGCTTAATTTCAGGCTCACTTCCATGTTTATATTTCATCCCAACATGCTTTTTTGCAAAGCTATAGATTTTGGGACAACATGAAGGTTAACTTTTATAAGCACGTGAACAAATTGCCTAGCTAGGCTTAAGATTTTTGCTTCTATAAATTCTCTCTTTAACCCAATATATATATAGCTGTAGTGATAGCGTCCAACAATTTTCTTTTGTGGGTACAAAGTTTCAGCAGTCACTTAAATATTGTTCATGAAAAATGGCAAATATTGCTTTCATGATGAGACAAATTCTCCATCTGATGAAAACATTGAATGTCTACCTAACATAAAATTAATAAAATTTATTATATCATTAATCAGTGTATGTTGGGTTTATTGTAAACGTCAGGGAGGAAACTGTCACCCCAAGTATGTCCAATCCCAAAAGATTAAAACAACCTTAGATATACTTTATAAAAGTAGGCCATTGCTCCGATGGTTAAGGTTTTCATTCGAGTGCTTTTTGCATGGTATATAGGATACAGTCAATTATATGTCCGAGTCCCATCTCCATCCTCGTGTCCCACATTGAATTAGAATGTACGAAGACTCCGTTATGTCCAGAATTATCAGTTATGTTTCAGCTAATATCTTTTGTCGATCTCCGTAACCTAATTATCTTATACTAACAAATATACTATACTAGTATATGTGTGTGCACAGGTAGTAGATTTGTGCATGAAATTTTTAGTTTTTTCTTGCTTCTTGAATTTCTCATTAGTATACGGAGTGTAATAGAGTAGATTCATTGTTATGTTCTATACTATAATTTTCAACATTATTAGCTTCTTCTTCTTCCACACAATTGATCAGTAGGTTGATTGAAAGAACTACTGAATGAAAATCACCCAAAGGATCATGTGTATAAATTTGAAAGACTGCACCATATAAGATAGTATAACGGAAAACCATGGGTGAAAAAGTTCATTGGTTGCTAAATTTGTAACTCCACGGGCCACCAGTGGCCATTGTTCCTGGGTTTGGCTCCAAAAGCATACCATATACTTCCAACAGAACCTGCCTGCAGGCCAGCGATGCCATAACTACAGCGGCATTCAAAGCTGCCCAAGGCATCTATACAAGACCCACAGTGATTTGCAACTAAGTGACTTAAAATTTTACCTTTAAGGGCAAATCTGGGAGAAGAAAACCGTTTTGCACACATGGGGATGGATGGTGATAGTTTTAAAAAATGTTAGAGAAATGACAGTCATCTTTTTCAGCAAAGTTAGGGTTACTTTTGCAACCTCTTGCCAACAAAAAGTAAACCCTTCATAGAACAGATGCAGTAGTGGTGAAGGTAGAGGCCTAACGAAATTAGCCACCACCAACCAAAAGCAGAATAGAAATAGCAATCCATCTCTGCAATGCAAGGACAAAAAAATGTAAATTCGTTTAAAGGATCTCTGTCTTCTGTTGTCACTGACAACTACGTTTCTCTGTACATATATGAGAGAGAAGATATCTGAGTGGTCAAATCGATATTTCAAAAGCTTTTTTTGTTTGATTTTGTTATTATTTTTATAATAATTTGGCGGTGAATTCCCTCCCAAGGAGGCGCAGATTATCTGAAAACGAATCTCCTCCAGCTATTACCGGCTCACTTTTATTAGCAGGCTTACCCCATTCTGAAAGCTTCCAGCGACCAAACCATCACTATTTGTCACATTACAGGGTTAGAAGAATGTTTATACAGTGGTTAATTTATTTTAAGTGTAAACCTTAATATTCATTTAAGAATCAAGTTCAAGAATTAATGGACCGGAATCGGAAAACAATGTCAGAAATAATATGGCAATTGGCAATTAGTAAAACCATCGATATGAAGTACTACATTTATATAGATATATCTAATACTATTTAAATTTAAGTTTGAAACAAACACTCATGAAAGAAAAGAAAACCTGATGGATGACCTGAGAAAAATTTCTTCTCGTTTGTTTCAGCTTTGAGCCTTTGGCCTTGTTATACTTTAGTGGCTATGTCATCAGCACTTACCCATGGTTTATGCATTGTCCGAAGCAGTGACTCATATTTTTGGGAAGTTCACTTATATATAACAAATTATCAATATATTTATTAATTTTATCCACAGAATGGGTGTTCAGAGCAAATTTTTCTTCAAATTTTTTTTTTTTTAATTTTTAGAAGTGTCAAAAATAAAATTTGAGGTATTTAAAAAAAATTTCCATTAAAATTTTCAATTTTAGTACTCTCACAAAAGGTGATCTGCCAATGGTCTCAAAGTAGACATGTTGTATAAACAATCACGTCATCATCTGAGAAATATAAAAGACAGATGATAAGGATGTTATTAGTCATGCAAATCCACTCTACCTCTATTGCTTTATTCTTCTTTCCTTTAATTTGTTTCCTCCCTTTCTCTTATATACTTTATTAATTTGAGCATCAAGAAATATCTGGGACTTTTAATTCTAGCTTTCCTTTGACTTTTTTTTCTTTGATAGATTTGATAGATTCATTACCTCAGCCTTAAGAAAAATTTACTCTTACCAAATGTGCCTCAATAAACCCTAACAATTAGTGCATTAGATATAAAATCAGCCATGATACCATTAAATGATTCTAGAGAGGTAAGTATCAATGATGATTGATATGTTTTACTTATCTAGTGAAGTGATAGGATAACTCTAGTGTGTATGTGTTAAGGAGATAAGCCATATTTTTAAGCTCATAGGAGTATACCAGAGAGCCTATACATATACATTAGACACTACTTGAACCCAAAAAATTAAGTTATTGAGTTTTTGGGTCATATATATATATATATATAGATATCTTATTTTGATTTTTTAGTGATATGAGATTTTTTACTCATATGTGAACTTTATCCCAATAATTTTTTTTATTCACTTGTAAGTTATGATCAAGTCTAACCTTGACTCCCTCATGCTAGTAAATCATATCAACACCTCATTTAGACAAACAACATTACATCTCTAGTGTGCTTTTAGGTATGATTATAGCACTTAACCTTACCACTCAGTTGTCTCAGTGCCTTTTTAAGCTTGCATTCAAGTTGACTTATACACGTCCACTTAGATGTTTCACTTTTGCATAATATCATATACTCATTGCATCCAAGTTGAACTTTTTATTCTGATATCGGAGTTAAAACACGTGGATTTGATGGACGCGATCAACCTTTGATTTGTCAATAATCTTTCCCACAACAACATTGGGATTCAAACCCATTACTTTAGCTCTGATATCACTTGTTGGGCTTGAAATGACAAACACAACAATGCAAAAACAAAATATCGTAATAAACTCACAGCAATAGACAATAATTTACAATGCAAAAAAAATAAAGTTCACTAAGATTTACGTAAAAAACCCTTCAATATAAATGAAAAAAAAATTATAGATTAAAAAAATTTTCACTATCAAATAATAGATATACAAAGTTATCCTCTAGTAAAACTAGAGTAATTTGATAATTAGAGAAACAATTAAAGAAATCTCACTAAATAGGTGACTCAACAAATACATTATGAATTTGTTTATAGGGAGCTTTAAACTTGATCTCTATCGTTTAGAATGTAGAACAGTGAATCATAAACTTGCTGACAAAATTTCAGCATAATCAGACTACGAATTGATTTCTGTTCAACTAACTCTCTTTTTTTCATTTTTTTTCTATCTTTTTTGGCTTTACTTTTCCTCTCTTGCTTCAAGATTTTACAATATTGCTTTATATGGCCTGATTTACCACAATGAAAGTACTTCACTTTATCATTGAACTTAAACTATGTTTAAATTTACTACGACCTTTTGAGTTTTGAGTTTTGTTGATGTTTCTATCTTTATTCTATGTGACAAGAGCTTGATTTCTAGGGATCTAAATCTTTTTATATTACTTTTCATTAAGCATATTATCTTTTATCATCTCAATATCATCTTATAATCAAGAGATGAATTAAGAATAGTCACAACTAAAGTATTATGACTGTCTGTTAATGAACCTAGAAGAAATAATGTCTTCATTTTATTATCTATCTTAACTCTATAGTAGTTATTTGATTAAATATATATTGAAAATTAACTTAGTGCTCTGTAGTTGATCATCCATCATCCTTGTATAGTAAAGTTGTTAATTTTTTAACAAGTATAAGTTTATTCATCTTTTTTAACAAGTATAACTTATTCATACATATTTTTTTCTCATACAATATTATTATTTTTTTTCAAACAGTGTAGGTATCTGTCTCATTCAAATTTTTTAGTGATGTAAAATTCTTTATTCATATGTAAATTTTATTCCAACAGTATATACGCTCTATAACCTAATATCTTCAATTCCATTGCTTCATGGAATGATTACTGAATGCGAATGTCCAATATCATGAAAAAATCAAGTGAAAAGTTCAGCATTTTCCTTGGCTTCTTTTTGTTGGTGAAACTCAGAGTCCCTTTTTCGGCTTTTTCTATAAGCAATAGTGACTTTTATCATTTTGTTTACGATCGGTTAGATTCACACAGTGCCAATACACATTTGTTACAAGCTCTAACATATTGGAGGGGCATACTAATGGTGAGTCCCAATGTACAGTGAGGTGCGTGGCTAAGTTGGATTGGAGGATAAATGGCAGACCAGGTTAAACAAAAGCTAAAGGTGAAATCTATGGAGGATAGATGCCCGGCATTTAGGGCTTTATTTAACAAAAGAGTTATATAGTTTCCCAGTTGGAGGCACAATGGAATTGTAGAGAACCGAGAAAAGGCTTCAGACCCCTCTTAACTGTGAAAACAACAGGTGAATGAGCCAAAGTTAATCACTCCCATGCACACGTCCCTTTCTTACTTCCCTCCCCCACCTCTGCCGCCTCTGCTCTCTCTATCTCTCTCTCTTTCTCACACAAACACAAGCACGCATCTATCGGGAATACCAACCATTAATTTTCTTTTGCCCTTTAACCTAAGCCGTTTACTAAATTTCTCTATTTTTTTCTAGCAGGGCCTGTTTATGATACATCAACAACTTGTGCAAAGTATTGAAAGTTGAAATTACAACAATGTACACGAGCTATATTTACAATGCAACAAGTCGAGTTAGAGAAGGAAAACAGTTTCTGGGTCTGTTTCATCTCCTAGTATATTAGTAGTATCTCTTATCTCTCTCTCTCTCTCTTCTCTTTATCCTTCATCCTCTTCTTTGTATCTTTAGCAACTCAACAATCAAGAAGATCAGATCAAGGTGTGAGGAACCTATCAAAATCCACTGATCAGTCAATCTATCAATCAATCAAATCAAAGATCAAAAAGAAAATAAAAAAGGATGTCGTCCTCAACAGCTGCTTTTTCTCCGGACCACCTCTCTCCCTCCGACCAGCTCTGTTACGTCCATTGCAACTTTTGCGACACTGTTCTCGCTGTATCACTTTCTCCCTCTTTCTCTCTCCTTTTCTTTTGTCCCCATTGTCTTCCTTATTAAACTTCTTTCTTTTTATCCCCAAAACCCTTTTAATGTTTAAGTTTTTACGATTGCATTCTTTGTATTTGTATCATCTCAGGTGAGTGTTCCTTGCACCAGCTTGTTCAAGACTGTTACGGTTCGATGCGGCCACTGCACCAATCTTTTGTCCGTCAACATGCGTGGCTTGCTTCTTCCTGCAGCTAATCAGCTTCACCTTGGCCATTCTTTCTTTACCCCTCAGAATCTCCTGGTATACATATATTTTCTTTTCTGAAGAAATTAGGGTTTCAAATCTACAAACACAATTAACCTTCTCTGCCTCCTTCACCACTTAATTGTTCCTATACTCTTACTTTCCTGTTAAAATTTAGTATAGAAGTTGGGTTACATTTGATTTACATATACATGCCAGGAGGAGATCCGAACTAGTCCACCACCAAATATGCTGATCAATCAACCAAACCCAAACGACACGGTTATGCCTGCTATTCCTGGGGGAATTGATGAGATCCCCAATCCTCCAGTGGTCAACAGACGTGAGATTCTTCACATTTTATTATTATTATCTAAAAAATTATAAGCTAAGCCACATAAATTGATTTGGGTCAACATCTGGAGAAGTCAAAGTTTCTCAAAACCTTTGTGCTTTAATAATATACTAGTCTAATTAGGCCCTCTGTGTCTCTTTCCAATTAAAAGGAAAAGACTAAGGCAAAAAGTTAAGACGCTATGTTTTACATGCCTACTTCCCTACATTTCCTATGCTTTCTTCTTTCTTCCTCTTTAATACATTTTTCCCCCTTTAAACACGTTTAACTTCATCTCTTGCTATTTCCATGTCTATATGGCAGTGGTAGCAGCAAGTCCACCAGAGACCTGTAGCTATTGTTAAGTTTCATCACTATTGTTATTACTTTAAAGTTGAAACTTTTTTTTTGCATAAAGTTGAAACTTGAAGCCTTGTATAGCTTGTATTAGTATACTTACTTTCTTCAGACAAATTTTCCCAAGATTCATTATATCCTAGATTATTTTTTTCTTTTATGGTGTAAAAAACCTTTTTTTTTTTTTTTAGTCAAATGGGTGCTTTCATTTCCTCTCTTCTCTTTCAGGTACCTTAACCATCAAATCCTAGCGTACAAAACGTCACTAGTTTTCAGTTTTGTCCATGTACGTATCTGAAATTAATTAAGAAAGAGAGAATTGATGTAACGAAAAATCCATGCAAAGATAGATAAATCTGTATCTATAGAGATGATGATGGGGTGATGATGAAGAGAGAGAGAGATAATGAAAGCCGAAATGCTACAAAAAAAAGTCAACAATGGGATTTTAATGCATCTGTCTCTTTGTTTGTCTGTGCTCTATCTGTTTTTTGTCCAGCTCCGGAGAAGAGACAGAGAGTCCCATCTGCCTACAACCGCTTCATCAAGTAAGTGATTAATTAATAATTTACCCCTATTCATTCATTCTTAATTAAGTTATTAATCCTCATCAGAGTTTTGCTATAAAGTTTAGTCTTGACAAAACTGTTTTGATTGGACAACAATGAAGCACATGCATGATCTTGACATCTATCAAATCTGCAGGGACGAAATCCAACGCATCAAAGCTGGGAATCCTGATATAAGTCACAGAGAGGCCTTCAGTGCCGCTGCCAAGAATGTGAGATCAATGATTCGAGAATTTCTACACTCTCTTTAGCATCTCTTTCCTTTTTCAATTTTTTTTTTTCAATTTAGACAATCTTGGGTCTAAATTTGCTAAGGCCATAAAAAAAAAAAAATCAAGGGTATAGTCATGTTGTTGTACTATTTTTCTACGATTAACCAATTACTACTCACTGCCAGTTTCCTTTTTTCTATCTTTTAGTGGGCTCACTTCCCACACATACATTTCGGACTTGTGCCTGATCAACCCGTGCAGAAAACTAACGTATGCCAACAGGTATTTTAAACTCTAGTCCCTAACTAAAGACTAATAAACTGGTTTTGGTTTTCTTATTGCTTTGGCCAATAATCCTTTTCTTTTTTTTTCTTTTCATTTTGTTTTGGTGGACTGTGTATGTAGGAAGGAGAGGACGTGCTCATGAAAGATGGATTCTTTGCTCCTGCCAATGTGGGTGTCACTCCCTACTAAACAAAGTGAAACTATTGTTAGGGTTTCTTTGTTTCTTGATCTCTTCTACTTAGAAGTTATTAGGTATCTTGTTAATTTTTAAGACATGTTCTCTCATAAGACACTCCAAACTTTGGGTTTCAATTAATTTATGTCAGTAGTTATGGGAACGGATTTTGATGTCTAGAATTAATGTTATTGTGAAACCTAACATATCTGCTCTACGTATGTAGCTACAAAGAACTCTTATGAACATGAAGGCTTTTATGCTGATGAATATATAGTTCTCAGACGTTAGCCTTATGTCATCCTAGTTCTTCAAAATTTAAATTCCAATTAATCTTAGCTTAATCTTTTTTTACTTGTATAGTTTTCATCCTTTTAAATTCAACATTGGTAGCTTTATATTTTCCCCCAAAACAAACTATATATATAGCAACATATAACAAGAAGATCATATAATAAATAACTATATATATATATATATATACATACATACAAATGTGAAAAACTGTGATTTATCAATTTTATTTACGGAAATAGTGCATAGCAAAAGTTTTGGGAGTGTTTAGAAAAAATATTTCTTTTAAAACTTTTTTAATTTTCAATCTTTGAAGGACATCCTAATTAAACACGTGGACCTGCTAACACAAATTAAGGAATTCAGCATACTGTATTATAATAAGTAACATTATAGAGAGATATGTTATACTTAATTATCGTTTCAAGTTTCCTAAGTCTTTGTTAATTGTTATGTAAGTATTTGACAGTATTCCATTTCCATTTGTCTCTTTTTTGGATAATCAGTAAGCTTTAGTTATCCAAAAGAAATTTCCCTTTTTCTCCATTTTCTATATGAAAATTGCCTCGCCGAGAGTGTATGGTATGCTTGCTCAATCCTCGTTACTTTAAAATATATAAGCAGTAAAAGAAAAAGAAGTATAAACCTGGAGCATAACTTAATTAGTTCGTCCAACTACTCTTGAGAGTTGACATCTATAACAAGTCTAAGATTTGAATCCCTACAATCCTTTTTCTTATTTTCGTCCTGTTGTCTTGTTTGTTAAAAAAAAAAAAAAAGGAATTGTAGGAAGTACCTTATCTTGGTGGGTTAAAGGAAAGAAGTCCAGTTGTACCCAAAATTTTTCTAAATGTGCAGAATGGAAGAGTGGCCGGTTCAAAGTTTTATAAAAATAACTTAACGTTTACATGTACCAAAACTTTTTTTTTACGACATTTAGATGTAAGGGACCCTTCCATAGTTAATTAGTTTAGGTGTTGAGCATTGGCGTCTGGAAGACAAACATATGTATTTTGTTTTCTTGAATTAATAACCATATTTATTTGGTGGTGTATGTTTTATACATGGAAGGTGTCAAAAAAGCAAGCACCATACGGAGGCATTTCACTTTGGACGAAGAGGCCAGATTTTCTCACTTTGGACTACATTGATTGGGCTAATGTTTTTGCTTTTTTAGGCCAGATTTGGGCTGCTGTTTAGTTTGCTGAACATTACCTTTACATTGCTGTTAGATTTTTGGGCCACATGAGTACCATCATATGATAACTATGAAGTTCTTCATGTTGACCCAAAAATAAAACATGCTTCTCTTAAGGCATGGCTCAAAAAGACCCGACTAGTCCACTAATCATGGACATGGTGATGGAGATCTGAACAATGGGGAAAAGGGTAATTATAGTTCGATGCTTACTGGTCACCAAGTTGCACAGTAAGATTGAAACCTAGAAGAGCAAACAAGACAACCAGACAAAAGCATAGAGTCGAGAAAACAAACATTATACCAGACGGGCCAGAATCTCAGTTTGAACGAAGGAACTAGGATAATCATATGTAGGAAGTAAGAGCTTGGGAGCTAGGAGGCCAAAGGAATCTAACAACGAGATCAGGACAAAAGGATCAAACCTGACGTGCAAGAAACTACTGTAAAAAGGGAAATGCTAATATGAAGAATATTTTCAAAAAATATAAATCAAAAGTATGCAACAAGTAACACGGTTACAGTTCATTTCTTTCAAACTGCAGATAACTGGTTGGTGTAAAGAATTGCGCCTAGACTTACATAAAAGACCTGATCCAGACCAGAGAGAAAAAAATCAAGCACTCACACCCATATAGTTGCAACTTCCAGCGGAATTAATAATACTGATATGTGCAGAAAGTAAAACCGACAGTTTCAAAGCAATCATCACAAGAAAAGACAATGAAATATCAGTAAACGCAGAGTTAGATATACATTACATATTGGGGCAGAGTGTAGCAGACCATAATTTTATTGATACTACTGCAAATCCAAAATCTTAGCACCGTAGATAAGTTAGTAAATTATAGATACGCAACAACATAAGTTATTGCAGAATTGAAGTTCAAGCACATTTCTTTTACATAATTAGTGATTCACATATATGGTCCAATTGGATAATATAGCATCAAAAGAACATAATAAGATTATTTGCATGTCATCGGATGAAAGAAAGGTAAGATGATCCTTTGATTGCAGTGCAATAGCAAAATAAAAGCTCGTTCCCTTAGCTGGTTTTTCACCACGATTCTTTTAAAATGCAAGGGAGCTTGGGGTATAAAATGTCCAGAGAACATTCACATTGCATATACTCGGATGGGTAGACAGTAAAACAAACAAAAAATTACGAGGCAAAAGTGGTGTTCATCAATAAGAATAAATGCATTGATCACCGGGTTCCAGATTCAATCGATTCAAGAAAAGCAATGAAAGTGTCTACAAAACCAACCAGAAGATATGATCTTAAGAGGATCATCCATGCTAACATAAAGCCATTAAAGAACTCAACCGCATTGAGGTAGGAATGCAAGTTTGCTCTACATATTTGCTTTAATCAGAGAAGTAAATTAAAAGTGGAATAATACAAAGTCAAACTGTGTAAGTAACGACTATGTGGATACACGTTTGGGTAGTATTTTTCCTGTGTCAAAGGAAATCACAGAGCTTAAAGAGAAGGAAAAAAAAAAGGAACGGGGGGAAATGCTTTACAGTGATTTCTACATTGGACTCACATGAGAATTATATGAAAAGAAATTCACAATCTGGAGATGTGGTTAAGTATCAGAAGATAGCCAAGAAGCTGCCTTAACTGCAGTCACTCCCTAGAGCCCAGTGCAAAGTCCAGCGTTAGTATTTTTTAAGTGTTTACATACTAGTTATCTTCTTGAGGATCAAGGCAGCCACTAAAACTGAAACTTTGATCTTTAGGATCCCATCTACAATCCCAGCCCTTCAACGACTGCAGCCAAAGATTCAAACCAAAATAACCTTTGCTCCAAAATCCATTTTATAAAGAGAAGATTTAATATAACTTAATTCTCTACATGGTGCAATATTTGAGCAACTACCCTGTACATTTCAACCCACTTAAATAGACCTGAGACTGAATCACAGTCCTTCCAATTTTAAATCCTGGAACCACTGTGAACCCCATTTTCACCCTAGTTTGGCCAGGCAAGTTATATCTCTTGGTGACATCTTCCATGTATACCATTGAAAAATCAACTCCTCTTTCAACTTGAAATATCTCAACCACAGGATCAAATGAAAAGGCCAGCTTATGAAGTGCCCAAATTGAACTAGCCATGCTCACAAATGACTCATAGAATATGCTCAATGACCGCCATGAATTCAGCACAACTTCATTTCTATCCAAATTGCTAAAAATTGACGACTCCATGGCGGGATGGATAAGCTCTTGATACTTCTTCTCACAAAATCTTGAGTATTCACAGTTTTGGTTCCTACTCAGCAGCTCCATGGGATTGCTAGATACGTGCTCAAGTAATTGCTTCAATGCACAAGTAGCGTTATTCCCATTACATAGAGGTTCGTTCTCGCTCAAATCAAAGCCTTCAACATCGAAACCCCGAAACATCCCCAAACAAACATATGACAAGAAAGCAAATCTATTGTGTCCTTTCTTAGCATAATCAATATCAGGATAAACCAAATTCGCCACCAAATCAAGATCCCAACCCGCTTTTCTCATCAAACCAATCAAAATCTTACTAAACTTATGGGTTGCTCTACAAGCATCATGCAAAACAGAATAAAAAACCCTAACAGTTAACAGAACATCACAAGCTGAATTCAAATTACCAGACAATTTTTTGGATAATTTCGTGTTAGCCCATCGTATCTCAGCTAATTTCTTCCTCAAAGATGAAACTTCATTGTCTTTTTCATCAATCTCTTCTTGCAAACGGTTAGAAACCGTTTCCAAAGTTCTCAACTTGCTTTGATTCTCTTGCACTTGAGCTTCCAAGCAAGACCCAAGAGACAACCCAGCTTCAAATTTTGGATTCTTTCGAAATTCCCTATAAAAACGCTTCAAATCAGACAATCTTTGAAGATGAGAAACCAAAGCTCTATCAGCGGCTTTCACACTTTCCTCCACGAATGGCACGTGCGAAGTTTGTAACTGAAGATAGGACGCTTCAAACGAAGAAACAGCAGCAAAAACAGAAGAAATCAAAGATTCGGCTATCTGGGTATCGATGGTTCTACTCTGAAAACTGTTATTAATCGAGGAAGAGGAATTCAGGGGAGGGTCGGGCTTGATGACGACGACTTTTTGGTCGGTGATGAAGTCTTCGGTGGAGTCGAGGAGGGAAAGTCCATCGGAGTCGGAGGGGTGGTTGTTGTTATTGTCGTCATCGGCGAAGAACTCGAAAGTTTTGGTCTTGAAAGCCAAGGCGAATTTTTGAAACATTTCAGAGATTTGTGGGGGCTTAGGTGTTGTTGGAGCTGGATTGCCTTCCATTTCTGTTTTCTGCAACAGAAATGGGAAAAAAGGAAAGGTTTTTGCTTAGTACTCCTTCTGTCCCTGTTTTTTTTTTTATTTTTCGCTCTCTGTCAGGGAAAGAATGGTGCCTGCTTTTGTTGAGGAAAGAGGAGTGTTGCTTTGCTTTTTGGGTTGTGCTTTGGATGCGTTGGAAGGAAGGTATGTAATATCCTTCGAGTTTTCTCCTTGTCTTTCCCTTTTTATTTTTATTTTTTTTAATTTTTAGTTTTAATGTTTTTAGTCCCCTTGTTCTGCTGACTTTGTTTTAGGAAATTTGGGTAACGGTAATAAGGGGCAAGGCTAGGCTAATAGATCTGGTTTCTTCTTTTGTCTGACTTTTCCCTCATCTTTCCCTTCAGATTTTTCTCTTTTTGGCTTGGACTTTGAAGGTTGACTTAAGGCATTGCAGTGCGACCACGTGGTTGAATTAGGGAAATGAAGAAAATTCTGTTTACTACTTCATTAGTCATGGATCTTTCTTTATGCCATCTATTATTTGTGATGAAGAAAATGTCTCCTATAGTGTTAGGTTAACAACAATTTGTGATGATTGTTTAACAGAAGATTAGGCTATTCATATTCATGCATTGAAAAATCTTCGATTAAACTTTTAATTTAATTTTGCAGTCAATGGTTACTCAACATATATCAAAATGGAGAAAAGACTCGATCAATGGCCCCTGTTTAGGGCAGTTGCCATTACATCGACATGACATCAAAATAAGCACCAACTATGCCCTTTCCCACAGCTTAACCAACTTTCGACAAGGTATTCTATTGTATATCACATTAATGTAACAAACAAACCTCATTAATTTATATAGGGTTATGAGAAATTAATTATTTTTGTGCTTTGCCAATAAAAGATCGAGTACAAAAGAAAAAAAATGCAATGCTAAAAGTGAATTTCGAATGGGAATCTAATTTCACGGGTCAAACAATGGTAGAACTTTGTTGATGAAATGCTATAATCATTGCTGCAAAGTAGCCTTGCATGTCTTTTAAGCTTCCTAAAACCTGTGGAAGGCGTTATCATGCTAGCTTTTATGCATCTTTTGAAGTCCTTTGCGATGCTTTCAACCGACACTTTGTAGTGGCTCTCACCTCATCACAAGCAGTCCCCGGTGGGTCTTTTATTCTTTACAACTAAGACCTTAATTAATATCAATAATCCCAAAAACTCAAAAAGATAAATTTAATTAAATGGTACGTTGGTTTCGGGAAATGGAACTTTCACATGGATGCAGCAAAGAATTGGGAATTAATATGAAGAGATTCAATGCAAATGAAATTAGCTCAAGGTTAAAACTCATATATGCATGCCTTGACTTACAGAAATTATAGTGGTTAACAACATTGTAAGAAAGCATGAGTTTGAAGGGGGAGAAAAAAAAATGAAGTTTGAACAACTCTTTCTATTAGTGAAAACATAGTGCAAGAGAATCTTCGTAGCTGGTACTACTTGGTATAATTCTAGCAAGAAACATCCAGAAAATCCTTTTGCAAGTAGGTTGGGAACTTGGGATTTCCTCAAAGTAGCTGGTTGACTAGAAACAAAGGAATAATTGTTTGATGGAAAATTTGAGCCATGATTGGGAAGTAGGTTAGGGTTTGTTGCATAAAGTCAGAGAGTGAGACAGTGAGTCCGTTAAATCGGCGGAAGGAGCTAAATCAACTGATAGGTTCAAACTCTTGTCCAAAAGAAGAAACAGTAAAAAGCAGACGACGGCATCATAATTAGCAGTAAGGCACAGCCAAATCCCTATTATTGGCATCTTAATAACACTTTCCTAATGCAAAAATATTATATAAATACAAATTTCTAAACCTTATTTCACTTATCTACAAATAATATAGTTTAGTTAGATAGCTTAGTAATTATTAAAAAGGGGTTAATTATTTTTCATGTAACAAATTAAGATCAGCTAAATTTGTTCCCATTAAACATGGGATTCAGACTTGAGTGCTGTCTGATTTAGCTGTAGTCACTTGACAAGGAATTGCTGCAGGTCCTTTTCAGTTAAAGAGAAACGCTAAACCATGAAACAAGGGGACCATGGAGTTAATTTTCATGATTGGATCGTTGGTAATGATAAAGCACTGGGAAGCAGCCTTAGTCCATGGCAGAACTTTCCCCATCATTAACCAACCAAAATTTACTGGTTATCGGCAGATATATGCACTTGGGGCCACCGTCATGAAATTGCTACAAGCTTTAGAATGCATCTAAACTTACAAAGTTAGATGAAAGGATATTGGTTGAAGGAGCAGTTGATCTGTAGAAGATAAAATATTCCATTATATTTTATTTCGTCATTGAATCAACTTGGAAAGTTGAAGTGTTTCAATTGAACTAAATAATAGGTTATTCGATTTTGTATATATACAAATGTTGTGAACTGATCAAGTGGCAGCTGCAATGTTGGGATTCTCTTCTAGCGTCCAGGCTTCCGACAATATTCACAGCTAATTCAAGTTTATAAGAGATTGTTATGTAGTCTGAACTTAAGAGCTGTAACTGACAATCAGGGAATAGTTTATCATGATTCATCATAATGTATCACAAGTGACAGACATTTATTAATCTTGTAGAAAAAACCATGGTGTCCCTCTTATTGTTTGCCCATTGACCTGCCAGCTAGATAGTACCACATTTTGCTTTTGTTAAAAGAAAAAAAACTCTTAATCCTCTGGATTTTTAATTCATCTGATATATATATAATTCAGTGTGAAAATTGAAAAATGAATATGTTGATTGTTGGGTTCAGAGTTTTTTATTATTTTACTTTAGAAAGAAAGCTTGGGTTTGGACTTCAGAATATCTGTGGACCCAATTGGCTATTGACTGCTTGGGCTTATTGAAACCAAGCCTCTAACGCCCAGATTGAGCGGAAAAACCACAAGGCCTTTTCTGATTTGTGGACTAGTTGCATGGGTTAAGATTAACTATCTTTCGAAACGCAAGTTTGTCATGTAAAAGATATACTTTAGTTACAATATTCTTCACTTATAATTTGGGATTTGTAGACAATTTATTCATTTGAGCCCAACTTCAGCAACAAAATTTATGCCTAAATATCTGCTACAATCACTATTGGGTAAAAGTTGAATTGTATTCGGAGTTGGAATCAGGCTCATTTGTTCAGCTCCAGCTTCAGCCACCGCCATTCCATTTATATACTCCATTCCCAATTCGGCCGTTACGCTACCCTTGCAACCTTACGAAGCTGATTTTCATTCCTTTCCCCCTCTCCTCCTCCTTGACACAAAAGATAGGCTTAATTTATAGTCCTAGCATTATTCGAACTTACGGCAAGGAAACCTGTTTAGACATGAATAAACTCTTTAAATCCCAGAAAACTGAGATAACAGACAACATCGTCGACGTCGTCGAACATGTAACTAAAAGTGAAACCCAATCGGACTGGCATAATGGAAACATTCTGATCAGAAGTGAGAGCTGTTCAGGATTAAACGACATCGTGAAAGAAGTAAATGGGGAAGCAGAATCCCATCCCGTTATTGTTCGACCAGGTGAAACAAGGCTCTTTACGACTTTGCGGAGATTTCAGGAGCACTATATCATGCAGAAAAGAATGTAGTTGCGAGGAGATTGAAAATCATTCCGGGGAATTTCACAAGGAAACCGTTGGACCCATAACAACTCAAAAATAATATATTAAAATAAATTTATAACAATTGACAATAATCAACAATCAATAAACAATAATACAAAAAAAAAATAAAACACATTAAATTTTACGTAAAAAATCATCTATAAAAAAAAAAATTATGGATCATCAAAAAAATTTTACTATTAAATAATATATATATAATTTTCTTCTAAGCTAAAATTAGAACTAATTAACTCTTTTTTTTTCTTTTTTTTTTCAGACTTTTTTTTCTTTTCGGCGCCACACACTTCACGCCAAAACTGCTCCCTTTTATTTTTATTAAGTAGAGTTCTCAAAGACAAAAGGCTTCGGGCATTTAATTTATCAAATATGATGGAATGGGGCTGGATCTCACATTCCTAAAAGAAGCAACGAAAACAGAAGATATGGAGAACGTAGAACTTAAAAGTTTTGTATAATGCATCGGCGACGTTTTGACTTTGGAAGTAGTTTAATCGAATGCTATATGAAAATCACATCAATGCTCATTTGCTTTGCTCAGGAATTATGCTAACTTTTGATCATCATATTTGGTGTTGTTTCGCTAATGCTATATTCAGCGAGTGTCGTTTGAACAACTTGTTTGAATAATCTCTTCTCTGCCTAATTGATTTCCGCAAAATATTTCGGGGTTTTGTACCTTTTCACCTTGCATTATCATAGTTAGTTAGCAACTGCTAATCCTTTACTCCATGTTTCTCCTTTGTTTAATGGTAATTCCAATTTCCAGCCGCGGCTCATTATTATGAAAATAAGAAGGGTCAGGGTTTTCATTTTTCTTAGAAAGGGTGTGGGAATTCATTAATTTGGGGTCTGAGTTTTGTCAAAAAAGGTGACCCCATGATTTTGAGATTTTAAGATTACACTAAACACATGGAGGATTTCATTTCAGGTTCTTGTGATGAAATTGGGGAGTACTTTTTTTGTCACTCATTGATCAATGAGAGAAAGTAAGTTAAATCCTGAAGCTGAGGAGAATTCGCATAATAATACCATGATGTGAAACTTCGCTGTCGTGTTAGCTTACAAGTTTTGTCTTTATTAATGTCCATGCTTTCTCATTTAATTCATACTTTCTTGTATTATTTGCTATTACTTATTTCATGCTTGTTGATTTCTTGTTTTGCCTCGCTGGATTGCTCTTAATTCACTGGTGTCCCTTGTTGCAATTTCCCAGAACTTGTTCAAAATTCAATTCAATTTTTTCTGCCTTCAGACTTGCCTTTAATTTCTTGAACTTTGCAAGTCCTTATCGCGAACATTTACCTCTTTGCTTGATTTGAGTATGAAAAACAGCGAAACCAGCCTCAACTTTTTAGCCTATAATTCAGCTACCAGGCTTGCTCTAACCTATAACTTTTTGCGAAGTTCTTGATAATAACTGTTTTCAGTCACTACCTTTAAAATAAAGCAGATTTTCTGCGTTGAAAGTAATGACTTCTGTACTAGAAGTTCTTTTTTTCTTAATAAAAAAAAGGGGATTAAACCCTTAGAATTAGAAGAGTCATAACTCACAAACCAGACTTGGCCAGCGAAGATTTTCTCATCTAAGGAGGGACGTCCCCAAATCACATAAGACAAATTGGGTTGGCAATCCAACTCCTGTCCAACCGGTATCCAAGAGTTGAAATTTTTATTTTAAATCAAATTTAAAATCAAATAAGATATTTTTGAAATAAAATTGCGATTAAATAGGAGTTGGGTTTTATATAAATCTATTTTGACTTCATCTGATCTTATATATATATATTATTTATTTAATTTTATATTTATATATTTATATTTTAAAATAATGTTTTATATTAAAAATTAATATTTTATTAATTTTAAATAAAATCAATTATATATTTAAATATATACTAATCAAATCAAATTTTAATATAAAAATAATATTTTAATATTAAATTGAGTTCGAATAGTAATGATATAAAATCGACTTGGATTCAAGCCAGGAAAAACACGTTCAACCCCACCGACCGCCGTCTCCAAGAACAAATCCCAGCACCGAAATTTAAAAGTTGAAAAGAAAACCAAAAAGTTGAATTAATTGTTTCTTCTTTCGTTGTCAAATGACAAATGCTACACCTAAAGCAATTATTCTGATAGTAACAAATGAGGGAATTCTAAAAATTACGTGTTAACCACGTTCCAATCAAGTGCAGCTCTTCCACAAATAGTAGTAGTAACACTTTTTGTTCTTTTCTGAATCCATGATAAGTCGGTGATTACGAAGGTAGGGAGGCAACTATCAAGGACAAAGAGCTCATACAAAGACTTAACCTTCTTTAGTCGAAGTTATTCAATGATTTCAATAGCAGTATCTCTTTAATTTTTACCGTGGGACAATAAAAAAATGAAAAAAATATATTTCCAGTTTTTTATTAGATTTGTAGAAAACTGGAAATAACATTAGCCAGATGATATGAAGGAAGATCGTCCCGTGCAGTTGATGGGGGGAGATGTTCCATAAAAGTACTGCTTTTATGTCTATATCAGGTATTTTGTAAGTTTGTAATTTTATGTAAAACCCAAAAAAAAAAAAAAAAGTACTAAAGTTTAATGAATAAGTAATGAAGAAAATAATAGGAGTTAGGTGAGAATTTTATGATTCTTTATTTGTTTAGGTATAAAGACATGATAAAGGATGTCATTGAACATGCTGAATCGATATGATACTTTTATAATTGTATTATATTTATTTTGTACTGTAAAATTATTATATTATAATTTAGATTAAGTTTGATAAAAATATATTTTTTATTTTTGTAAATTTATATATATTTTTATTGAAATTTCAAATTATTATTTTTATATTGTATTCAATATTATAAATTTTAAACATGACAAATGAAAATAGTGTTCAAAACATTAGCTCAAAGGCTACTACCGTATCAATGTAAGCTAAGCCTGGCAAAATAGAGCATACTTTAGTAAATTCACGCCAACAAAAGAGGGATCTTGTTTGTTGCATGTCATATAATGGACTTTTATTATATTTTTCAGATTGTGGTTAGGTCCATTTTGACTATGAATAGAGTGATTTAGGGAATGAAAACAACTACGATTGATTGCTGGATTAAAAGCATGTCCTCCGACAAAAGTTCTTTCTTTATAATCTATGCCAGCATAATCATTGTCATTAGCACTACTTATTTGAGCTAATTCCAGTTGAGGAAATGAATTTATTAACGTTGTTAATAGTATTGTCCTTTATGTTAGATTTGTGAACACTATTCAAAACAGTGAATTATGTTGACTTCTTAAAGCATTTCTAGATTTCATTTGACGGTGCAAGAACATTTTTGGGATCATAAAATGGTGAATGTCTAGTCCTTCTAACTTCGTTCACGTCTATTTGATCAAAGAAAATTCAAACTAGTTCGAATCAATCCCATTCCATCCTTCAATAATTGAGCAACGACGAATGGATTAGTGATCCAGAAGCAACAGAGTTACCCAAGACTACTATGGAGCAGGTAAGCATAAGCAGGGCTTTGGACAGAATCCTGAAAAAGCTTCATGTAATAGAACTATTCTAAACCCCAACGCCACTTGCCACTTTTCTTTTACAGTTTTCCACTGCGAACTGAGAAAACTCACTGCTTCTGGTCTTGTCATTTTGCACTTAGCACAGGTGGGAGAGAGAGAGAGAGAGAGAGAGTCACCCAACCATCCACAACGAGCCAATGGTTAGGGTTTTCGGGACATGTGCTTTTAGTAAAAATAGAAGAAGAAGAAGTTATGATATTGAGTTGAGTTTTCAACAGTATTCTATTACTTCTGCTTTCCGTTTCCAGCCTTTCTTTTAGTCATTGCGTCCCATTTTCCAAGCCCTGTAATTAAAATATCCATTTCTTGTAATCTTGCTTTACCCTACAATGACGTATAAATCTATAACAATAATTAAAAAGTATGGTTTTGAAAATACTGTAATATAATTAATTAAATTATCTATACCAATTTAAAACCATTCCGTTATTTTTTATTTTTTCCCATTTAATTTCTAATAATTAAATAATTAATGAAATTTAAAAAATTACTTTAAAAATATAAGAATAGAACTTTATTTTTATATTTTATTTAAAAAAAGTCCACAAGAAGCAAGACACAGCGCCTCTTTAAATGAGGCCAACCTCTCACTCTCTATCTTTCGTTTTCTTTTTTCTCTCTCCTTTGTTTCATCGGTAACAGTAACACCACCCCAGTGGGAGTTGCCAGGCGCCGTTTCTCTTTTCTTGCACTCTCCTCTCCCCTCTCTATGCCTCTCTCTCTCTCTGCAATAATGGTTAGTCCACCACTATCTTCATAAGCCCTGACCATTCTCTCTCTTCAAAATTCAAACGAGAAAACCATGGTAAGTGTTTCCTTTTTCTCTTTCTTTTTTTATTTTTTTGGCTTTCTCTCTCTTGTTACTTGTGAAATTTAGCTAATTGAATTACTTTTTCTTGTACATGTTTACAGTTGTTTTCTTCACATCTACCTCGTTGGCTTCAAGTTCTAGTTACTGAGAAATTCTTCAATGCTTGTATAATTCATGAAAAGGCCAAGAAAAACGAGAAGAATATCTATTGCTTGGATTGTTGTATCAGTATATGCCCTCACTGCTTGTCTCCTCACAACTCTCACAGGCTCTTACAGGTTCCCCCTTTAAAATTCGCCTTATAAATCTCTCAAAATACATCATCTTCTTTTTGTTTTTGTTCCTAGTTCCCAATGTTCTTCTATTTCCTTCCAATTCTTGATGATGCATGATTTCAAGTTCAACTTCTTGTCATGTTTCAGATACGAAGGTATGTCTATCACGATGTTATAAGGTTGGATGATGCAACAAAATTAATGGACTGTTCCTTTGTCCAAGTAAGTCATAATTCTTGCTCCTTAATCCAACTTGAAAAAAAAAAAAAAAAAAAACCCACTTTGGAGGAAAAGAAGAGACAAAAAAATACATGTTTGAATTAATTCCCCTTGCTTTTCTTTGAGAACACGTTTCTCTCTGCATGCTTAGATATTTATGAACTGTGCATGTCTTCCAAATGACAAACAAAATCTTTGCTTGAAATTCAAATTATGTAAACTTTTTTTTTTGGTTTATTATCAATCATCTACTGTGTATTTAACCACCAGATAAAATAAAGCTGTTCACTACAAAGAGATGAAATTTTCAGAAAAGAAATGTCTGAATGATGAAATAAATCCTCTATACTCTGCAAATTATTGTTATTCTTAAATGGTACTCACTGCCTTTCCTTTCTCTTTCTCTTTCATTAGTCATACATAACAAATAGCGCTAAAGTGATATTTATAAACCAAAGGCCGCAGACAAGGCAGTTTAGAGGTTCCGGTAACTTCTGCTGCACCTGCGACAGAAGCCTACAAGACCCTTATCTCTTTTGCTCTCTCTCCTGCAAGGTTCCTTCTTTTTTCTTTTTTTTTTTCTTTTTATTCCTATAACTCCATAACCACCATCTCCCACTCTTTGCACTTCTTCTCACGATTTCTCAATCATTTCACCTAATCTTTTCTCTTTTTTCCCCTTATAACAGTTTAATTATCTGCTAAGAACAGAAGATGGGCTTTCCAAGTTCCTGTTTGAGTGCGATTTTTTGCCTTTACCTGAGACGGGTTTGGATGATGGTTTGGTGACACCTGACTCGGTCCTTGAGCCTTCTGGTTCGACCAAGACGTCCTCCGGGTCTGGTGGATACGATGAAGTGTGGTGCAGGGAACTTGCTTGCACTGCTACGACAGAGATTGTGAGAAAGAAGAGGAGTAGCTTGACTGTATGTCGTCCGACATGCCCCCCAGTATCCGAAGTTTCGGGAAGTTTGATGAACCGGAGAAAGAAAACTCCATACAGGGCTCCACTGTATTGAATTTGTTGTCTAGGGAAGGGAGAGAGTCAAGGGAGATTGGGACATTGTTGGTATTTTTTATTTTTCATTTAAGGCAATTTACGGATGAAATGATTGAAAAAAAAAAAAAAATCTCCCAATTTTGCTTATGTACAATCTCCTCTCCCATTGCAAATTACTCATCCTCAATTTTTTTTTTCCTTTTACATAGTTAGTGAGTAATACTGCCAGAGATTGTTGTATTATTGCATCACCCCTTCTTCTATCATGGGGTTATATAATTTATATTTCCAATTATTCTGTATATATATGCTTTACAATTTTATTTTAGCACTTTTTAAAATTTTTTATACAGTTTTTATTGTTCAATCTGAAATTTGAGGTTGAAGTTGTCTTTCGAATGATTTAAAGTGGAATTTGAAGTTTAATTTAATTGATACAATTATTTTTAAAAAGTTTAGTATCTACATTTTTTTTCTTTTATTCTTGTATAATTACCTCTTTTGTAAAAAAAAAAACAAATGCCATTGAGTTTTGAATAAATAAAAAAATGTCATTGGGTTGTGAATGAATCAAAGACATGAATTAAGGAAAAATAATCAATTTCATATAATTGAACAAGTGATGTTGTTCTTGAGTGAATGATTGCAATTATAAATCCAGAACTCTCATTCGCTTTCTCTTTTCTTGCTTTTCTTTTTCCTGGACACAATAGCGACAAAATTGGAAGGCAAATAGGCGACGCCATTCAATTATTTACTGATTCCCTTCCCAATGTCTCTTCATTTGAGAAAAGAAGCTCTTGAGTCTTGACTAGTCTAATACTAATTTTGCATTTCAATCATGGTTGGAATTTGTGAATTACTTTAGTGATTTACATATACTTTAGTTAGTGATATCTTTGTACGTATATTTATAGAAATATTATGCTACTTTGAGATACGCGTAGACCACTCCTCGACAGTTCTGCATAACAGAGAAGAGATACTAATATTTAACTTGATTCTCTTCCTTTTTAATTATTGGGGTTACAGATAAAGGAAATGTAGTTATTTTAAAATTTGAGATCTTTGTTGAGATCACTCATCGGAATCAAAAGTTGTTGCTTTTCATAATTTTTTCCAGGAAAATTTTGCTTTTACAGTGCAATAATATTGGCCAGCTTAGACACTTTTTGGTTCAGTGGTCATTTCGGTTGGGTCAAACTTTTCTTTTATTTCTCCCTCTTTTCTGAAAAGGTCGGAAAGAAAGCTTTTAATTGCTGGCTCTTTCATTTAAGAAATTCGGCTAGGTAATGGCAAATTCTCATTGCATAGCAGGTAGCTGAGGAATGCAAATGAGCTTAGTAGACAAGAAGTGAGAGCCAAATTGCCAATCCTTTTATGAAGAAAAACACTTGGACAGTTACAAGAAATAATGGGTAGGAGAAGACATTGATTATTTGGATCCTGAATGGTGAATGTCATTCAATGCTTCACATGGCAAAGTACCTAATCTTTGGTATTTAGGTTTCTAGCATGTTCCTTCTGCTGTGCTTTCTCCAAATTTCAATTGACCCTTCTTTTAAGTTTGCAAATTTCATTTCGAAGTACATTATCCATTTTTCTTTTCAGCTATTTTCAGTAGGGAATGGACAGAAATGACGTGACAGTAAAGAAGAGATTGGATTTATTTCTCTTCTTCAAAAAAAAAAAGATATTTCATACAAATCATACTCATGGCTGATTTCAAATTTTAAACTCATATAATAAACTCATTATATAGTTAGTTGACGTCGTATATATGAATAATGAATCTCAATAATACAAGTGTTTGTTTATTTTGTCAAAAGTAAGAGAATGAGATGAACTGTGACAGGTAAACGATTTGTTTAAGGAAATAAAAAAAGAATTTTCTTTCGTTGGCTGAGGAAATGAGAAATATCCTTTGGAAACTGAAGGGTAGATAGAAGTTTTTTGTCACCTGAGGCAAGGACAAGTGTTTGGCATTTATTGATCCTTCCTGCTGTGGTTTTCTTTCACGTGTCAGGATATGTATTTGGCGTTTGTCTCGTCTGGACATGAATACAAGTTGTAGTCTCCAGAATAGCTTTGAAGCGTGCCGACGTTTGTATTTAAAGAAGCAAAAGTTACAGTGTCGCGACCCCTGGTTTTTTAAGCATAAGAGATATCGGACCACGATGCTCTTGCTCTAGCTTTGCTTGCACAAGTGATAAGTAATACAGTTAATCGCGATGAATCTCACTTATAGCAAGAATCATGTGCTTCTGGCTTGTAACGCTTTTGCTTGGTTTGTTGATTGTTCAAAACCTCTGACAGGTAAAGGGATGAAGTGAGAAGTCGATTTTCTTTTCATTTACACAATCTACAATGGGTCCAGAAATTACAGTGAGGTTGCATTCGCATCGGCTGCCGTGTATAAGACTATGGACCAAAGTAGGATAAATGCATTCACCATTTCTCATACACTGTTAACTCGCTGTAATTGTAGAGCCCAATTCTGTTGCAGGCTGCTCTTGTCCGGTCAGCTTCTACTTGTCAACCTCTTTTTCCTCCTTATGTTTTTATCTTCTGTAATCGTTTTAATATTAATGCTTGGCAGCACATCCTGATCAATTCTTTATATCTGCTTGCCCCAAGTGGCCAGCCGCCAGCCTGCAGCATACTCCACAAACCAAATCTGCAATCACTAATCATTTGTGCTAGTACATATTAGGGGATCAGCCTTACCAAGAACCAATAGGAAACAGTTCAAAGAGTAGACGAGGCGATTAGAAGAATACTAACTTGCTTCATTGCTGTTAGATATCAGTCAAATATCTGTTCCTGGCTAGCATAATGAAATATATTAGAGTGTATAACTTGTTCCCGACTGAGAACTAAAAGCTTTGTTCACCCATTGTTGTTAGGAGGTGTTTGGCACAAGATATGTAACATCACACTTGGTAATAAAATTTCTCCCTACAAGATTACTAAGGTATATTCCCAATAATATTTCACATTTACATTTGATTCAGAGTGCTTACATGCAGGATTCTCATGTTTAATTTACCACGAATGTAAGAATTCTAATGGCATCTTTTATTAAATTCCACTTTAAGACAAAAAGCTGAATATCTAATTTGAAAATTATTTTATAATTTAATTAGATCACTTGTAACATGAAAAATTAACACGTAATATCTTGTAACATATTCCGAAAAACTATTAGTTCCCTATCCACGGCCAGATTTTCTGTTGCTCTAAAATCTCATCCATTGTTTGTAGCCCACTTCAAACATCTAGAAAATAGAGTTAGAGGCACGTAATATATGTATTATTTATGGCCAAATACCAGATGGAAGAAACTGCTATCCCCATGCTGAGAACTAGACAAGCAAACCATCACAAAATGCATAGATAAGAGAGCACCACCACTAGGGTGTAAAAGGGAGAAACACACAGATGATCGATCTGCGAAGAAAGTTTCACAGACTTCTCTATAAACATACAGAACTACAGGTGCAACCATACTACTATTAGATGATATTTGAGAAGTTCCAGGGCTGTTTAGATCATAAACACACTTCACAGGCATCATTGTCATACTTCTCTGCTTGATCAAGCATCTAAAAGGCCTCTGCCACTCCTGCAATTTCAGGCACATCAAACTTCTTGCCTCTTCAAAAATCGCAGTTTCCCAGAAGGATGGGGGTCGATTGCATCTAGCATTGCTTCCAGCTCATCCAGCATTGATCTTCTTGCAGCTCGAACCATAAGATCAGCACCCTAAATGCAGCGCAAGTATGAACAATTGAACAATGAAACCAAGATAGAATCTTAAAGAACAAAAGATAATAAGTTTAAACTATAAACTCTTCAATTCTCTTAATTTCAATATAAGAACTAGTACTAATTTTAAGCTAGCTAGGAGACTGTTGCAGAAAATCATTTACATAATCTAAAAAAGAGCCTAGATATCAAGAAAATCTGATTTCAGGATCGAACTAAGAAAATTGAAACTCTGCAAACTTCGAAAACAAGAAGAAAGTAAGGATTGTTGGCTTTTACTATACCTATAATAAAGACTACAATGTCAATCGTTAGTGTCAAATCAATCGAAAGATCATATAGAATTTCTTGCCATGATCGAAATGTGGGATGATCAGTATGATATGAATGTTTGACATTTTCTAGATCAGTATGATATGAATGTTGGAAAGCGAAGCAGAAAGCAACATGATACTACCTGAATAGCATCAACAGTAAGGATAAGGGAAATAATCCGCTCAGAGAAGCGCTGGCGCTCCTCGGAATCGCGAGCGATGCTCTGCCTGTAAGAGTAGTTATTAAACAACCCCCTGGTTTCTTTCAACTTAGCCTTTGCCACAGCCAGCTCTCGCAAAGATCGTAAAGCCTTTGACCGACGGATCAGATACGCTCTGAAAGTCCTCTCTATCACCAGCGCCGCTTCATCTGGTGATAATACCTTCCTTTTCCCTCTTAGCCTGGCCACTGCTCCAGCTCTCCTCCCAAAAGCCTTTCACATTTCACAAATAAATTCAATTTCAGTTGCAGTCAGCAGCTATAAGGTAATTTCATCAATTTCCAATGGCATTACTGTCTAATTATTTAAAACAATCAGCAATAATTACGTAATACGATGTTTGAGTTGATTAAAGTAAATCCCAGACAAAGTTGGTTTTTCTCTATATTCACGTCTGGCTTTGATCAAGAAGACAAGACACAGTCAAACTTAAACTGAGAGGTGTGAAGTGTGAAACAGTGAAAACCTACTTGTCTGAGAAGCATGGCAGCGGGATCTGCATGTTCTTCGGTCTCCACCACACGCGTGGAACACACTCCCTTTGTCTTCTCCTTACCACCAACGCACGCTCCCGCATGGGACCCCAATTCCTTGATCTTGAGTGGCACTTCCTTCTTCCGAATACCTTGAATCTCAACCTTACACGTGTCACGGTTCTTCGCAACGTTTCCGTCCATCCTTCCCTTGATCTCAGCTGTCCACTTGTACTTCCTATCAGTCCCATTCCCCTCCGGACTCTCGATCTCAGCCGTCCACTAGTATTTCCTCCCCTCCAAACCCTTGATCTCAGCCGTGTACTGGAACTTCCGGTCCGCTTCACACTTATCTGAACTCTTTATCTCAGCCTTCCACGTGTACTTCCTTTCCCATTCCTTAAACCGTTCAGGGCCAGCACCTAACTCCAAACCAGAAATTCGATCAAGCAAAGCCCCAGAACATAGTTCCAACTCATCTGTAGTTCGGATCCGCCGATAAAGGGACGAAACCGGAGTTTCCAAAAAGTGGGTCACATCTGTAACAGCGTCAAAAGCCTGATCAGACGGTGAAAGAAACGAACTAAAGAGGGTGGGATTTGGCTCAAAGACATCAAAGGGAAATGACAACTCGGGCTCTTCATATAACAAAGGAAAAACCGACAGCGAAGTATCGAAAAGGTTAAGTGGTCTGGCTAGAGACATGGGCGGGGCTTCAGAGAGCGAGGAGAAACTAGGCAAGTTTACTGGCAGAGCGTGGCTGTATAGTGCAAATGGTGGTGTCAAATCAGGAAGATGGGTGACAAGGGTAAATTTGTGAATTCAAAGATTGTGGGACAGCTAATGGTGGCAGATCGGTCCAAGCGAGTTCTGATACGCCGCGTAAGGAGAGGATAATTGGATGACAATAGGTGATGTTGTCGTTGACAAGCAACATGGACATGCATGGATAATAATGAAGTCACCGAACAAACTTGGCTACTTTCAGAACAAAAAAAAAAAAAAAAAGAAAACAGAAAATAAAAGGATATTTGAATTCTGATGTCTGAGTGATCTTCTGATTTTGTTATCAATAAAAAAATAACGAAAGTGCATGATTTAAATATTGGTGTAAAGAAAAAATAATAATAATGCATGGCAATTTTTGGTACAAAGTTTTTGCAATAAAATCAATTAAAGAAAAGTTTTTACAAATTTATCTTTTCAATATTCATTTTTGAAATTTACAGGGATATTTATGTTGTCAAAATTCTAGTCGATGATCACGAAACCACAATTTTTTTTACCAACAACAGAAGAAACCACTAATTAATTATTATTGGTTTATTTTCTTTTGAAAAAAAAAAATCTTATTTACGTAATAACCTTCCAGTCAAAACTTATTTTATTATAAATAATTCGATTGGTTTAATTTTTTAAAATATTATATAATATTATAAAATTATAAAATTTAATTTAAATTTAAATTTAAATTTTTATTCGATTCAAATCACATCGAATTAAATTTTATTAGTTTTATTTATTAATTTTTATATATTATTTTAATATAAAATTTTAATATATTTTAATAAATTTTAATATAAAATTTTAATTTTCATTTTATAAAAATTAAAAATATATATAAAAAAATTAAAAATTATACATAATTTAGTTTAATTTTTTTATTTTATTTATTGATCTAAAATTTGATTTGATATTCTTGTGTGTATATATATATATATATATAACATCTAAATTTAATCTAAATTAAATAAAAAAAACCAATTCAAACATAGTAATTCCAAATCAATTTTTAAATTATTCCCTTTTTTTTTTACCACTACATCACCCAAACCAAACATCTATGAATTTCTACAAAGCCGTGGGATCCCCACCTGAAACGCAGGCTGTTATATCAACGGCTCAGAAGGGTCACAGATGTCACACAACTGTGAAGTTAGTCTCTTTTAACGAATCAAAAAAAAAAAACAAGACCCAAAAACTGCTTTGGTTCTGCGCCCCTTCTTTCTTCCCGATCTGGCAGATTCTAGCATTTCAATTTTCCCACGATCTTTTTTTTTAATTTTCTTAGGTAAAAAGCAATTAACAAAAATCTAAATTTGCTATGGGAGATCTTATCAGTATTCATCCAACAGAGCTTAAATTCCCATGTAATTTCCGTCTCACCTGCATCATTTTTTTTTTTTACTTTTATGCTTCCTTTTTTTTTTTGTAAATTTTGGTATTAAAAAAAACATTTAGGTTTTGTTTCTATTGTTATTTCAGTATGGCTTATTTGATTTAATCTGTTTAAGGCAGGCATTAGTTTCATTTGTTTTGATTTTTTTAAACACTATGCACAGACAATTAAATTGTTTTGATTTTGTTTTATGGAATATGTGTGGCATGAAATTTCAAAGTTGAATTGAGGAAGCAAAGTTCATGTTCTATGCAATTGACCAACAAGACAGACAAATATGTTGCCTTCAAGGTAATTTAAGATTCATCTGATTTCACTGTGATTGGATTCGAGATTGAGACGCTTATATTGTATAAAATCTCCCTTCAACACTCTTAACAGGTTAAAACAACCAACCCCAAGAAATACTGCGTCCGTCCCAACTCTGGTATTGTTTTGCCTGGAAGTTCATGCAATGTCACCGGTAAGTGTTGTGCAATTTATATGCTTTTGATTCCTGTGGCAGCTAACGCATTGGCGTTTAATTGTTTTGTTCAATTTTGTTTCTTCGAACATTGCTTATGTCTTTATGATTTATTGACATGAAATTTGCTCTGGCAGTTACCATGCAAGCTCAAAAGGAGGCACCTCCTGATATGCAGTGCAGGGACAAATTCCTCATCCAGAGTGTTGTTGCTCCAGATGGTGCAACCTATATAGACGTAACCTCAGAAATGGTATGATGGCTATGCCACTGTTGTTTATTTTGTTAACTTTGTGGTTTCTGCTTTGTGTTGAATGGTTATAAATTGGTGTGATTTCAAATGCAGTTTAACAAAGAGGATGGTCAGGTCATGGATGAATTCAGAATGCGGGTCATTTACATTCCTGCTAATCCCCCCTCTCCTGTTCCTGAAGGATCTGAAGAGGGGTCTCCTCCCAGAGAAACTGTTCATGAAAATGGGAATCAAAATTCATCTTTTGAAGATGTAAGCGTCTCTGTCATTGTTGGCCGGAAAGAAGTATTATCTGTTCTTTTCCCCTTCTTTTGTCAATTATTAATGGAGAATGCAATTTCTCGCTAGTGATATACTAGATGTGTCTTTTGTTGCTCAACTTAATGCAAAATTTAGGTATCAAGATCTTTAGAGGAGAATAAAGAGAAGTACTCAGAGGTATTTCATCTATCTGTTGCTTTATTTATATATAAAGCCTTTTCTATGAAGGAGCATTTCATCTTAATAGTTGTGACATTTTCTTGGTAATACCTTACTAGTTGCTATCTTTCTGACTGCCTAGGTTCCTTAATATTTCCTGCTCATCCAACCTGCTTATTGTTTTTAGAATATGGAATATGTTCAAATATGTAGGCAGTGAATGTTATTGTTTTGCTATTTGGTCTATGCCAATTGCATTTTTAATAACCTAGTTATAGACTCTTCTGGAATTATCTTCCAACTAGAGCTAATGGAAGTCCAGGGTAACTGAGTGTGTCTGAGTAATTGTGATAAATCTTGCCTAAAGCATAAGAAGGGATTAAAGTTTCTCTGCCTACTCTTGAATTTATCTTCTTAAGGCTGAATGATAATTAATCTTTATCAGAAAACTAATTCATAACCCATGCAATTTTGTGACATATTGATATATTTTTGAGATTGTACATGCATTAATGTTTTTATCACTCATTGGTTTAGATGTATTTAATTCGGCAAAAGTAGATTTATGTTTGAGATGCCCTCAGAACTTTCTCATATAACACAGTGCCATATTTGCTAACATTCCTCTGTTTCAAATCCATCATGTAAGATATGATTTTAACAGTTGTTCTCCTTCTACCTGCCATTTTCTTATAGCATTGGTTGTTCAATGTATTTTTATCTCCAGCCATTGTCTGTGATTTCAAAGTTGACAGACGAGAAATCTTCTGCTTTGCAACAAAATCAGAGGCTACGCCAAGAACTGGTATGAGTGTATAGTAGCAGATATCTTTGTGTTGATTATCTTATGCATCAAAACGTATCAATTATTGTTCCTTTTCATAGTCTCTGATTTATGTTCATCTTTTTTGAATATCCTATAATAGTTCCATCCATGCTGTTTGGTATTACTTCAACTCTAAGTTTAAGGGGGTGAAATTTAAATTGAGTGGTTAAAGCAAATTTTCAATGTTGCCTTTGGTGTGATGACTGCTTTGCAGTTAATATTTTAGTTTAGTTACCACAATATGTTGGTGGACAGTATGAATTATTCATCTTTATTACTGCTTTCTACTCACCACTATAACCCTTTTTGTTTATCTCAATCTGTCTCCTCTATTTTTCCTATCTAATCCTTTGTTACGAGAGTGCCGCTATATTTTGGTGTTTCACACCATAGTCTTCTAGTTCTCATTCTTCTTGCTATTCTGCACTACGGAATTTTATTAACTGTTATTTGTTCCTGTTCGTGCTAATTAAGTCTTTGGCATAACACATTCATCGTGCAGGAACTGTTGAGAAAAGATATTAGCAAAAGTCGTGCTGGTGGCTTCTCTCTATCGTTTGTGGTGCTAGTTTCTCTTCTCGGTGTCCTGATTGGCTATCTTGTTAAGAGAGCTTAGGAAGAACTGCAGTTGGAACCATCTCTTATGAAAACATTTGGGTGCAAGCAGTAATTGGCTGCTTTTTTTTTTTTCCTGACTTTTAGGTCCTTGCCCCAATAATGTTTTAATCATAGTAAAATGATTGATTGTTCAAGTTGAACAGGTGATTGACTCCGTGGTGGTTAGACAGTATCAAGCTTATGTAAACTAAGATATTCTTATCGAATTTGCCTTTTTCTCACAGTTTCACGAGTAATGCGTTTGTTCGATTATAATTTTGTATTTGGAGCAGCTTGAACAAAGCTGACGACGCATCCCCACTTTCTGGTTCCATAAACAGTTCATCAATGATTGCTAGCTAAGAGTTATGTACTTCCTAGTACTTCTACTGGAAATATCACTGTTATTTCGTTTTATAAATAAAACGATGACTTATCATCAATTCCCAACAAAGACAACAAAGTGGTGCTAATTATATTCATTGGATCAATCATGATTTTCCGACAAGGAATTTATAGAGTACAGAGAAAGGTAACAAGGACTCCTAAGACATTAAGTAAAACTGAAACAGTTAAAACACACATCAAGCACAACCGTACATAACTCTTTTATGACATACTATACAAAATAGATTGTACGTTCTTCTTTCACTAGCTGACACTGACAGGCGTTGCTGTTGTTTGCTTCTCCACTTCCAGCCCTAGGTTTGCCTCACCAGATTTCTTTTCAGTTGCTGCTCTGGGAGGACAGCGCCAGTTGCCTCCGTGGACTTCTTTAAGATGATGGCAACGACTGAATCCTCGAGTTAAAAAGGCCCCGAACATCGCCCCCAACAGAAACGCGGCACCAGTCTTCATCATACTAATTTTGATTGATGATCAACTTTATTCACTTTCTCTGAAACACCAAAAGAATAAGCAAATTCAGGAAAATTTTAGCAGAAGTGCATGCATGCAAGTGAATTGTGTTTTAATTACGCTGTTCAAAGGCTTATTCCCAATCATTTATAGTGACGGTTCACACCAGGCTATCCCCTTCCCCAAGGATCAACCCCAGTCCCAATATTTTATCTTTGCTTGAGTAACAAGGACATAGTTTTCAAATAAAGAGTCCGTTTCCTTGAAAGGTCATCTGATGGTAGCTTCCAGTTTTTGGACTCACTTTTTAATATAAAAGCCCAAATACTTACAGGCTTCAGTTCAAGAATCCAAAGAGATTTTAGGCTACTGTCTCTAAAGAGGTTTCTGTTAGGCAGGCCCACTATTGTTCTAACTCGTATCAGCTTGAAACTTTGAGCCGTATCAATCTCGATTTCGCACACAATAATCAGGTTCACTTGGGCCACTTTTGTGAGCGTTTCGTATATTTAAGATGTGGAGCCCAAGCGCTCCCCAGAATTTCGTTCTTAGAATTCAAGTAACTATTGGGCTAGCGTTCCCTTTGCATCCATAAAAGAACGCCCAGTAGTTCAGTATTATATTTCCTATTCCTGCTTGGAATAGGATTTCGGGTTTGTTTTCTTTCCTGATTTCTCCAATAGATGATCAAAGCAATTGCCAGCAATAATGTCGATATTCGGTAAAACTATCTACACCTTATAGCTTTGGCAATAATGTCAAAATTATCATGTTTTAAGTAAACCAGAGTAGTTATTTGAGAGAAAATGGCAGATAAGGAGAATAATTTATGAAGCTAACTTAAGAGTGGTTTAGTTGACTAATTATCAGTATTTATATTGGATCTCAAAGGTACAGACATTCAAAGATGTCTGTTATAACCCTAGCATATTGTATATCGTTATTTTCCTCATATAAAAACTGATATCAATTTTTTTAAAGCAAATGATTTTTAGGATTTTCTTAGTATATTCACTTTTCGGATAGGTCTAAGTATGTTTAACAAATTTATGAAAAATTATCTTCCTAAAGCCTTTAAGCAGATTCGAACCCAAGTAGTAAAGCGAAGAACACACTATTTTTGGCCCTTGAACCAACCATTCGTCGCTAAAACTTTATCAGTTTGATTTAGTCTGTTTCATGTATTTGAATACGAAACAGGTTTCAGCAGAGAAGAAAGGTGTTTAATACTAATCAGTTGAATTTAGCAGTGTTAGATGGTGGAAAGACATGGATATGTACTTCTTAATATATCCCAACATTATATCATACAGTGAGGGTTTCATTTATATAGTTGAATAATCCTTGCTCACAAAAAAAAAAAAAAAAAGCCCAAGAATTTAAGCGGTTGGGAAAAGCTAAAGTTGCCTCAGATTCAAACATGAAAATGTCGAGTGTCGTTATCTTTGTTTCATTCTCAGATAATCAACTTGAAAAGTGAAGACATCAATTGATAAAAGAAAAGAACATTATCCATTCCTAGTCTTGAACTCGATTGAATGCTGACTCCACCAAGTGAGATTACTGCAATTTTTAAATTCTGAAAGAAAGGTAATACCCTCTTTTCTCAGCTTATTAAACAATGTTTTCAATCACCAATCAATGATACAAATTTCAGTTTTCAAGCTTTTTCCATGAACAATGTGACTCTCCAATACATACAAATGGTCAATTCAGACCAGAAGAGTATTTTAAGGCTTTTGCATGAATAATGTTACACGAGTAATGCGTTGGTTCGATTATAATTTTCTATTTTTAGCAGCTTGAACTAAGCTGATGACGTACATAGCTTCTTTTAACATAATTGCTCTGGAAGTATTCCAAACGGTTAACATAATTTCAGATAAGAGTCATGTACTTCTACTGGTAGCTTCTTTACCGCTGTGGGAAGAAATTTCATCTGTTATTTCGTTTTATAAATAAAATAAACGACTCATAAATTCCCTACGAAGACAACAATGTGGTTTTAATATTCATTCATAATTTTCGGACAAGGAATTTATAAATACGGCGATAAGGTAAAAAGGACTCGCAAGACATTAAGCAAAACTGAAACAGTTAAAACAAACATCGAGCACAACCGTACATAACTCTTTTCTGACATACGATACAAAGCTAGATTAGGCATTCTTCTTTCACAAGCTGACACTGACAGGCGTTGCTGTTGTTTGCTTCTCCACTTCCGGCCCTAGGTTTGCCTCACCAGATTTCTTTTCAGTCGCTGATCTGCGAGGACAGCGCCAGTTGCCTTCGCTGATTTCTTTAATATGATGGCAACGACCAAATCCTCGAGTTAAAAAGGCCCCGAACATCGCCCCCAACAGAAACGTCGCACCGGTCTTCATCATATTAATTTTGATTGATGATCAACTTTATTCACTTTCTCTGAAACACCAAAATATTAAGCAAATTCACTAAAATTTTAGCAGGAGTGCATGCGTGCAAGTGAATTGTGTTTTAATTACGCTGTTCTAAGGCTTATTCCCAATCATTTATAGTGAAGATTCACACCAGGCTATCCCCTTCTCCAAGGGTCAACCCCAATTCCAATAGTTTACCTTTGCTTGAGCAACAAGGACACGGGTTTCAGAAAAGGAGCCCGTTTCCTGGAAAGTTCATCTGACGATGGCTTCCACTTTGAGGACTCACTTGTAAATAAAGAGCCCAAACAAGCACAGGCTTCAGTTCTAGAATACAAAGAGATTTTGGGCTACTGTCTTCAAATAGGTCCATGTTAGTCAGGCCTACTAGCTTTCTAACGCGTATTAGAGTGAAATTTTGGGCCATATCAATCTCGATTTCGCACACAATAATAAGGTTCAGTTGGGCTACTTTGAAAGCGTTTCATATATTTAGAAGTGGAGCCCAAGTACTTCCAAGAATTTTGTTCTTAGAATCCAAGGAACCATTGGGCTAGCTTTCCCTTTGCATCCGTAAAAAAACGCCCAATAGCCTTCTGTCCTGCATTAATATTTCCTACTCATGCATGGAATAGGATTTCCGGTTTGTTTTCTTTCTTGATTTCTCCAATATATAATCAAAGCAATTGCAGGTAATAATGTCGGTAAAACTATCTACACCTTAAAGTTTTCTTCGCCATACGTGCATAAGAGAGATATAATCTAGGCTTTGTATGTGCAAAAAATTTCTTCATCTCGATCCTCTCTTCTCTTTGTTTTTGACAGTAACATGTCATCAATGAAATATATATAGTTGTAGCGGCCGTCCTTGCTTATTGAATGGTTTTGTTTGGGTTTATTTAGAGTTACAGGCTTAGCTAGTTACCAACATTATTCAACCCTGATTTTAAACCAAATTATCCTCAATATTATATGTTAATAATACACATTACAGAATGTGTACAGTCTAAAAAACGAAGTGCCGCTTCATATTGATGTTTTGCTGAAAGCGTGCAGAGTTTGTAAATCCGAAATTTTGGATGGTAAGTCATAGATCACCGTCCAAAACAGTAACTGTTTTCTTTGTCTTTTTCGATGATTATTCTCTTGCTTTTGTTTTTCTAGCTGAGAATTTGTCCCACATTGAAAATTACCCAAGTGAACTTTCTTTGGTGGATCTCTATTATTATTATTTTACGTTCAGATATTGTTTTCATTTTCATTTTTTGTTGCATCTTTTAAAAAATGCAGAAAATTGTGGCATACATGCTTACTTACATGCAAGTTCGGCAAAAATAAACCTGATCTGCTTTCAGTTTATGAATTTTGCTTGATTCAAAACTTGATTATAAGCTATCTTTATAATAAGAATGATCAATTTTCCACCTGGATATTGATGTGGTCGCTTTATTCAGATTCATTCAACAATATATATGCAATTACATATGCATACTTAAATAATTAATGTTGATTGACGACCATTTTCAATTTCAGAATCAACATATATAAAAGAATCAAATTCATGAGTATCCAAAAAAGTTTATTTCTTCTATAATATAAAAGAGCATAAGGATCAAGTTGATCACAGCAAAATCAAACTGACAATAAGGACACAAACAAACATAATGAAAGCTTTAGCAGCAAAAAAATAATCATGGAATGGAGAAAAGCGATGAGATGATATGCATAATTAGGCGCATTGAAATCCTCTAGGGACATTTTTACCACAGTAGTTCAAGAGCAATCTCAAGGAGATTGGGACATTGAGGTTAATTCCCAAAACGTTAGCTTTAATGGCAGTGCAAAGGCAAACAGCAGCTTCGAGATCAGCAAGACCCTGGATGAGAGGGCAGCAAGGGGACTTTGGTGAGGTACCAACAACGAGGTGAACCAAGTCATTCAATAAGTTGGCACATACCCCTAGCTTTAGGGCATCCCTCGGGCAAGAGGGTGTATTAGTTGGTGGGATTGTAGATGGTGGCCTCGTGGCTGGAGGGTTCTTTGGTTGGGTTTTAGGAGTCTTTGGCTTTGGTGGGCAAGGGGCAGAAGCTGAACTGACCAAAGTGAAAAAGAGAAGGTTGAGAGAAAGGAGAAGAGCAGTGGTTGCAACAACCTTGGAAGCCATTTAAAACTCTTCACTGTCTAGAGTATGTCACTGCTAGAAGAAGGTAGTTTGTGTTTAAGACATGGTGAATATTGCAAGCTAGGTTAGGGTTCATATAGATGGAAAATTTGATATATTTTGGAATTAAAGAAAATAGAATAAAGAGACCCTTGTGGGCACATTTGATTAGATTAAAACACTGCAATTGCTGGCGGTGCAACTTGGATATATATATATATATATATATATATCAGGAGAACTGCTGGTTTTCACTATTTTGCCTTCAACCACCAATAAAAAAGTATATATATATATATATATATATATATATATGTTTGTGTGCACACGCACGTCTCATACCATTTCTACATGACAGCTCCCTCCCTACTAAACCACTTAAATTTAACCAAAAAAATTTCCAAGAAGATGAATGCCTTTTTGTCTGCATTGCATATCAAATTGTGGTTAAGGATGGCTTCAGGTAAACACAATTAAACAAGTCCTTTGAATCTGCGTAGTCCTTAATTCCTAACAATCACGGTTTCCACATAATTACCATAGAAATAACGAGTATTAATAAACTATATAATGATGAAATTAAAAATGACTTTGGAATTATACAATCTCCAATAAAAAATTATTAGTTTGATAATAATCTTGAATGATAATACTATTAAAAAAAAAAAAAATCCTTAGGACCTTTTTTGGTCATCATGAATATGATCTTTGAGTTTGACTATTTCCTTACAAAATTACCTTCAAGTCAGCTAATACAATCAGTAACTGAGGGCTAAATTTTGCAAAATTGTGTGCAGATACTCATGAGTTTTTCCTTTTTTAATTTGGCTTTGAATGTTTTAAATCCAAATCATAATAATTGTTTTATTGACTATAAACTATAACCATAATTTTTTTTATACCTTGCATGCTCCCCACTAATTTTTGTAAAATATTAGAGAAAAATATCTTCAAAGAAAAAAAAAACATTAGTTAAATGTCCAAGATTCTGTCTGCTCCCAAGGCATTATCATTTCAAGCAGACAAATTAAAAAGCATCCGCATACACGTGATAACAGCTAGGCAAGTTCTTCTTTGTCAATTTTCACTCTTTCTTTGGCACCGCCATAAAATTTTGGTGATTATTTACAGAAGAGAAAGTGATAATTAACCAGCTATCGGTTTAACTTGATCCCGGCCCATATGTAACTTTTATTCATCAACTTCACATCACAAGTCAAAATGATTAGAAAAATTTAGTTTAAAACTTGATATTTAACTTAATTAATTTATATAAATATTTTTAAAAAATAATATTTAATAAATTTATAATTTAAATCTCATCATTTATAACCCTTTACCTTCTCCTTAGGTTGAGGCCTCATTTGTACCAACAGAAAGAAGATTTGGCTTGACATGAGATGACAATGCAGCCTAAACAGAAGCAACATCCTCACACTATAGAAAAACAAAGTCAACTCCCAATACAGAAAATTAAATTCTAAAAAATACAGGGGAAAACATCTTAAAGTGCTATGTACAGAGTTCCTTATACGATCAAATCAGAACCACATTCATAGAGACAGTCCTACTAAGTTTCATATTTCAACCTCAGTGCAAGTCCGAGACAAATTAGTAGTACAAGAAGTAATTCAGCATTCATGAATCGAGGCAATTCATTGAGCCTTCGAAAGAATGATCACACGATGATGTCCAACCCGAGTCTCACTGATGCGACCAAGGTGACGTAGGACCTGTCAAACAGCACGATGCACAGTGATATTTTTCCTAACTAAATTACCTCAAGCATTTGGCCATGAAATACATTATATTTATATTACAAAATTCATGTCAGTCTGCAAGGTATTTCAACATGTTTCAAAACAAAACACCACTTAAGTAAAATGACATAAATGACAGTTGACCATTACAAAGAGATAAACATATAAAACAAACATGAAAATAGGTCTCTTTCCCCCATTCTAGAATATTTAGAAGTTTTTAACAATCAACTATGACCCTTGTGCTGCACAACAATCATAGATGGTACAATTCTTTCCTCACAACACCAACCTTACTCTCTATTTGAAAATTAGTCTTAAAATATATATATATATATATATAAAGAACTTAGTACTCCTAGATCACAGACCATAAATCCAGGCGTATTAATCAAATAACAGTCTAAAACATTGAATCATATATAATTAACTTGCATGCCATGAACAGACTTTTATTACCAAGCAAAAAAAGGAAGAGCAAGAAAGAACTCACAGTCAGAATGGCTTTTCCAGTGTTGTCAAGCTTCAATGATGGTCCTTTCATGTCAGTTTCAAGGAAAAAGTGTTTCCCCTTTATAGCTTCTGTTGTTGCAATATCTCTCAATTCCTGCATATGGCAACCTTGAAAATCACTTGCAAATGACAACAGTTAATTACCATGTTCAGCACCAATGTGCTACACGCTAATTGTTTGAAAAAGCAATAGTAATGTGTTTAATTTTTAGGAGACAGTAAAGGAAAATATTTCTCATCGGCACCGCTGATACATTTTCTGCGTAGATTCCATGGATCATGGTGCTTTAACTTAAAAGAACACTATTATTTATGAAAAAACGTATCATTCAGTGGACAACATAGAAAGATGAGGTGCTATAACTTGGTTAGGGTTCATTTACCAAGGCTTTCTCCCAGAGATTTTCTGCCATCTTCATGAAGAAAGAAAAATTATTAGCAATGGCCATGAGATTATAGAATCATAAATGAACACCAATAAAAGCTTGAACATAAACCTTCTTTTTAGGAGCTGCAATAAGCTGAGCATTTGCCTCAGCATATGTTGCCATGTCATTAATAGCTGCATTGACCTTCTCAAGAGTAAGCCTTCCTCTCATGTATCTGCACACAGAGCTGAGTTAGTGATAGACACAGAGTGAACCATTGCTATGTCGCATTAAATTGTAATGTAACAGGCTACTGTAAAAGAAGAGAGTGCAAATTTTAGTTTAAAATGAAAGATATACTTACGAAGACAAAGAATCCAGTTCACTAGCAGTTATGTACCATAATGGTGGGGAGCCACGGCCCTTCTTCTCCTGCCATTACAAGAAAAATAATTAAATAAGCCCAAGTTCAGATCCACTATTTTAATTACTATGGTGCCATTGAAACCTTTGGTAAAGCAGCAGGCTCCTCGAGTTTCGAAGAGCCCAGATTAGGCTGCTCTAGTTGCTGATGTTTAGAGGCTTCTGGTACCAAACTGAGACAAAAAAACGGTACATATAATCACTATTTCCACATACACGAAAATTCAATTAAAATACATTACATAGCAAAGTGTCTTGAATATAATTAGAAAAGAAATATAAATGTCATCACCCTCTATCAGCGTCCAAATTCAGTGTTGTTGTTCTTTCAGGCAAATATGAGGGAGCGTAGACGGACATGCTCTGTAATTTCTTCTGCTGCCGTAGCGATGCAGCAATCAGTTTCTGAAATCATCACAACAATCTCAACTCAACCAAAACTTTTCCAATAATAGTCAAATTAAGTTATAAATAAATAAAAAAAGAAAATCCCCTATTTTGAAACCCTAATTTTAACAAACCAAACCCCTAATTGAGAGAAATAAAAATACGAAGTTAGAAATGACGTTCTTTGGCTTTGGGAATGGCCTCGGTTTCCTCACGCAATTGGTCTTTGATCGCCTGCACTTGCAGTTCCATCCCCTTTAATACCGCATCAATCGCCGACAAATCCGTCAGACTACTTGCCGGGTACACTGGAAAACAAAAGCAGAATGTTTAAGTTGACACGCCGGCTTCTGATTCGAAGGCGAAAAAAAAAATTTAAGTCAAAATCATTACATAGATGCAGGGACAGAAGAAAGAAAACCGGGGGGGGGGGGGGAGGAAGCAAACTGAATTCCGAGTTGACTCACTGTTCCGTGCAATGACGAGTTCTTGTAGCTCAGCGATTCGGGTGTTGAATGAAGATATCAGAGAATCGAGAGATGAACCAGCTTTCTTAAGATCCATCTCTCTCTCTCTCTCTCTCTCTCTCTCTCTCTCTCGCAAAATACTGTTCTCCCGTATACGAATGGGACCGATTATTTTGATCTATGATTTACTGATTTCGAGGATTTGAAAGTTTTGGCGGGAAAGAGAAGGGGATTAGAAAGGCAAACTGCGTTTGCAGATTCTCGAAAACGGTCCTCCGAGTTCATGAACAGAAACAGTGATTTTGCAAGTGGACGAGTTGAGATCTTAGAGATCCAATGGGAAGGCAGAACCAGTCTAGGGCCCTAGCCGCTTGCAAAGTTAAGAGCACGACATTGGCCCCTCAATGAGCCCAGTGGTGCCGAATTTGGGCTGGACTTTAAAAGCGTTTTAACAGCATCAAGTATTTTTGTAACTTCAAATTTAATTTATCCTTAAGAAATGCAAAATACAAATTAAAAAACTTTCTTATTCTTCTGATCAGAGACATACATCACTTGTATTTATGCTTTTATTCTTAAGTTAAGATTTCTTTTTATAAAAAAATTAATATTTTATGATTATATGGTTTTATTAAGTTCAGTTGAATTCAACAAGTTTTAGCAGACACAAGATCTGCCACCCAAGCTTCAATTCCTTTGCCCCTAAGATGGGAACTCAGTCCTAGTTAATTGATGCACTTTGAACAAATTATTTTCTCCTATGACATGATCTTTTACTTTTATTTTTTTCTTAAAATAAGTTAGAGTAATATTATAAATGCAAATATAAGTTAGAGTAATATGATCAACGTTTGCTAGTCCAAATGATAAAAAGTTTAATTTACTTTAAGTAAAATTTTGATTTTAAATATTGTAAATAAAAAAAATAAATTTGAGAGAACTTATTCCTTTATGAGCCTAATTCAATTCGACTTTGAATTAATTGAGTTTAAAATAATTATTTAACATTAAAAATCTTAAACCGAAAAAATAAATAATATATATATATATATGGCTGTCTGGTGGGATCCAATATGCAGCTTTTATTAAGTCGCACTCTTACCTTTGATAACAACATTAGAAAATGTCAAATTAATCGAATGTGGGATGTTTTGTTATGCCTTGAACCCAAACAAATCGGTAAGATAGTACCATTTATAAAGGGCCCGTGATGTTCACTTCAAGTCTTAACAATATACTAGTACTACTTTTATTGGGATTTTAAAGTTTTTTTTTTTTTTAATTAAAAGTACATTTTATTTGGTGATTCATCTTATGTTTCTTGTGCAACTTATCATAATTCATACATAAACATATTCGCCATATGACTGCCTTTTTTCAGCATAAATTTTTACCTAATTTTCTGATTGAATTTGAAGTAGTCAATCTAAATCAAATACGGCTAAACGGGTTGATTACTAGATTATGCAAAGTAATGTCAAGGTGATAATTAAAATCAGGATGTTTTATCTATAAGTAAAGTCAATTGACAGCAAATGTAATTTATTAATAAAATATTAATATTTTATTTTATTTATATTTTGATAATTTTAGATATTAAAAAAATTTAAAAGTAAGTCAATTAGCACATGAGTATGGTGTATAGCATTTATAATGCTCGACAAATTAGAAGAGTCGAGTCAATTCAATATTTACTGCTTATATTTTCCTAAGATTTTACTGAATTACTTCTATCTCAAGAGAGTGAACACATCCCTAAGAAATTTTCCATTAGATGGTAACATCATGTGCACTAGAAGATTCAAACGGCAACAGTAGAAACTGATGTGATAAGTGATAACCAGCCGACCACATTAAGAACACCCATCCACCTCATCTTAGACCTAACATCACATATATGCTATCCTATCAATGTCCTAGATATCTTTCATTTACATTAACCATGCATCCATGCTTTTAATTCCTTTCCCTTGGTGGGTATATATCACCCCTCCTATGCTTTTTTTTTGGATCATGATTCATGGACCTAATGAAAAACATATCATTTAATTTTTAAGTGCTCATTTGATAATAATATGACATTAAGAGCAGCAACTTCTCTAGCAAAGCTTTTTGAGAAATACAGAAGAAATTAAGAGAGATCCCGTAATTAGTTTTTTAGGGATTTTTTTTTTTTTTTTGGTGAAGCAAAAAAGGATCGAAAGGGACCTTCAATACGAGAAAACCATATCACGCGTGCCACTTATTTGGACTACTGATGACAGGAAAATGAGAAAAAAATTGGCATACTGGTATCATTGATTGAGGAAAAACGTATGCCCTGAATTGGTTTGATTGTCTCATTTACCTGAACCTTAATAGCATGGCAGTTCATCATACTCTAATTCAAAGATGGAATAGAAGTGAACAATATACATCATGTCATAACGTTTAGATCCAGATATTCATTATTAGATATTATCTTTAAAAGTTGTCTCAAATTTTTTTTATCTAGTATGATTGATCACCTAAAGAATCTATCATTTTAAAGAACACTTAAGCCTAAGGGTCATTAAAAAAATAGGTTCAAATCTACTAACTAGAACAGGATTCCGGAGTATAGTTACGTATGAGGAAGTTTATAGTACCCTCGTAATGCCCATCGAAAGATGATACCAGTTTAATTTTGTGTTATCTAATAAGCTTTAAAAATTTATCAAGTAATTAATTATTAAAAATTATTCTCAATTAATTAGAATACTTTTAGCAAAAAATTGAAAAAATTTTCTCACCTCAAGAGTATGCAAGAAAACTACTGTTTCACTTGCAGAGGCTCTATCGTCGAATTATTTAACATTAAAAAAATTCAAAAAGGAAAAGAAATAAAATGAAAAAAAAATAATGATTCAGCTTTAGATATAAATCATTTTTTCTTCAAAAACTCATTGCTTTTGTACAAGAAAAATTGATACTTTCAACTTTTTCTTAAAAATATTTTTTAAAAATTTTATTTTCAAGAAAAATTGATACTTTTACATTTTCCTCAAAAATATTTTTTAAAAAATTATTTTCAAGGAAAATTGATACTTTCAACTTTTCCTCAAAAATATTTTTTTTAGAATTTTATTTTAAGAAAATCATTAAAAAAATAAAATAAAATAAAAATAAAAATAAAAATAAAAATAAAATAAAGAATGCCAAATTATTCTAATCTAATCAATAAATAATAATAATAAATAAGAAAAAAAAACTTTTAGAATGGCTCGGCTTGGCTGGGGTCCAAGCAGAGACGTGGGTCGCTGATCAGGTTAGCGCTCGGGTCAGGTCATCCGATTTCAAAACGCACGGATCTTCTGGGAATAGTAAGGCTAAAACGACATTGTTTTCGACTAGTATAAAAGGCTTCAACCTCTGTTTTTTCGCAGATTGCTTCTTTCCCCTTCTCTTTTTTTTTCTCTTCTTTCTTTCTAAACAGAATTCAGATTCTAATTGAATGTCTGTCGAAATCTAAAAAAACAGGTCGAAAACTTCAAAGTTGGCCGAAAATCTCGTTGAAAAACTTGAAGCTTGTTGAAAAATTTCACCGGATTCTGAAAATTTTCAAAAAAAAAAAACTTCAAAAATTTTAAAAATTTTTTCACAAATTCCAAAAGTTGTTTCTAACACACTAGAACCTTTTTTAGCCTCCGTTTCCTCTCTGTGTATTTTTTTTTTTGTGTGCTCTCTGTGGAGCTATTTATAGGGATTGATCAGAAGAGTTTCTGATCAATCCCAACTCCTTCTGGGATTTGGATTCAATATTTGAATCCAATCTCAATTTTGTCAACCTCTAATTTCACAGCCAAATCTAATTTTTCTGATCCTAATCCTAGTAAAAAATCAATCAAGATAAAATAAAAAAATACATATTAATAATTAATAGATAAATAATAAATAATATATATTAATAAATAATAATAAAATAAAATAAAAATACAATATGGGTTTACCCATTTGGATCAGGCCCAATTGATCCGAGCCTAGACCAAATTGGGTGTCTATAACTACCCTTCTTTGCACATTTTCTGTGAAACAAGAATTGTGCAAAGACATAGACACCTATTCAAGGCTCCACTCGACTCTTTTTTTTATTTTTTATTTTTTTGGTTGAAATTTTGATTAAGTTCCTCTAAGCAGAAGCTCAACGACTTTGAAAAAATAAACAAAGGTCATCTAATCAAAGGCTTACAACTTTGGAAAATAACTAAAGTTTCTCTAATCAGAGGCTTAATGACTTTGGAAAATAAATAAAGCTCCTTTAATTAGAGGCTTAACAACTTTGAAAAAATAAATAAAGCTCATCTAATCAAAGGTTCCACGACTTTGAAAAAATAAACAAAGCTCCTTTAAATAGAGGCTCAACGACTTTTAGTAAAATAAATAAAGCTCCTCTAAGCAGAGGCTCAATGACTTTTGAAAAATAAACAAAGCCCCTCTAAATAAAGGCTCAACAACTTTTGAAAAATAAACACTCAACGACTTTTAAAAAATAAATTGCTTCTTGACAATCATGTCCAAATGAGACAAAGATCATGTTTGAAGAAATTTCAGGAGATTATGCCCAAAGGTCTTACAAATCGATCCTGATGCCAAGAGATATCATTTTCCAAGGATTAAAGACTTACCTCACAAGCTTTTTTCTCGAACGAGAATTGGAAAATCAAAAAGTCTTTACATCTATCTTTTTTATGTGGGATCATGGAATACTACTACTTCTTGAATTTATGCACTATACTTTCTTGAATGTAGAATATACTATATGAAATTCAATGCATGCTATGCAAATGCTGGCTAATTAATTCTTATTCTATTATGGTACTCAAGTTTTTCAAGCTCTTTTCATGTGCCCTGAACCTTTTGTTTTTCAAAGGCGTAACTCTTAATCATCTCTTTCATTTAATTCTTGTATCTTTTTAATGGTAATCTCTTTCCAAATTCAATGTTTCTATCAGGAACTGAACATCTCAAATTTACCTTTATCACTCTTGACTTCTTCAATATAATATAGAAATCTTTTATGTCATTATTCATTTATCAATCATTATTTCAAACTCAAAAAGTAAGAATGCATTTACACATTTCTTCCATTGTAAGGTATTAATAAGAAAAGAATAAGAATGGTTGGGAAACAGTCAACAGAAGAGGCATACAAAGAGTGAAATAGAATGTCTTTTATTAGCAAAAATATTGGCAAACTTTGGCCAAGAAAGAATTACAAAAATAGGCATAAAGAGACAATGCCCAAAAATAAACAATCGGATAATTATGATAACATATCTCAAAGTTTTTTTGAAAATCCAATCATCTGATGCACTTAACAACTTAGAGCTCATCCGAATTTGTTAGCCTTCTTGTCAATGAATTTTTAAATTTGATGCTGTATTCTCCTTATCTAAGCTACATTTTTAAGTTTTCAACTTAGATAAACC